CCACAAAAAAAATCCTGCACATTATATTTCAAGAAACAGGAAATGAAAACTACCCAGATGTACCAGAAGTAAAGATAGAAAGAATCTATCAATCACCTCCTGAAAGAAACCCCCAAAGGAAAAGTCCCAGGAATGTTACAGCCAAAATCCAAAGCTCCCAAGCAAAGATAAAATACTGTTAAGCATACAGAAAGAAGCAGTTCAAATACCAAGGGACCACAGTCATTATCACATGAGACCTGGAAGGTTCTACCATAAACAAGAGGCGATCTTATTCCAAAAGATAAAAGAGAATAACTTTACCCTGCAAAGCTGAGTATAATGCTACAAGGGGAGAAGATGGATCTTAAATGGAATAGAGGACTTCTAAGCATTCTTGAGGAAAAGAACACAGCTGAATAAAACTTTGAAATATAAACACAAAGTCAAGAGAAACCTAGGAAGATAAATTTATTTGATCAACTGGAAGGAAGTATATGATGATGTCGTGCTAACAATTTAATGGAGGATGAAAAAACAAGGGTTCCTTCAGAACCTCAATGTGTTCAAAGGGTATTGAAGGAGTTAAATGAGAAAAAACAGAGATGGGGAATTGGGGGTCTGGAGGTTGGGTTATTTTTGTTCTGAACTAAATCAATTTGGTTTGTTGGTTTGAAGAGAGGAAAGAGAAGGGAGGATAAAAGGAAAACATAAGTGGAGAAAGGATAAAGAACGAAGTGAGACAGAACTTGCTTTTTCTTATAATTGGATTCTGTGGAAAGAGTATAAAAATGTAGAGGAAGGGCTGGGGGGATCAGATGAACCTCATCTTAATGTCAGTGCCTTCTTCTTGAAATTATCCCTCATTTGTCTGTACATATCTTATTTTTATATTCTCTCCGGTTAGAATGTGAGCTCCTTCAGAGCAGGTACTATTGTTTTTTTGTTGTTTTTTGCCTTTTTTTGTATCCCCTGCATTTAGTACAGTGCCTGACATGTAGTAGGCACTTAATAAATGCTTGTTGGGAAAAATGATTATTTCTTTCTTGTATTAATACCTAATTATTGAATCAGGACCAAGGATTTTTCCCCTTTTCTACTTACTCATCCAGAAATCAACCAGGATAGAAAGTCTCTCTCAAAGATTTACCTAAACTAAAGATCTAAATAAAAACCAGTAAAAGAAATTCTAAGTTTAGGTTAATGGATGGATTCCTGCTCATTGTGTTTACCCAGATAGATCTGAGAAAATGTGGATTCTCCCATTTGCCAGACAGGTGATATGGAAATTGTTGTCTCTTTGACCAAGATGTGGGTGGTCCAACTCACATACCAAAAAGCCCCTCATTTTAATACAGCCTACCTCCCATTAAATTTTCATTCTCTCATTACTTATTGACCAATTCAAGTTGATTTTCACCTTCAGGTGCACCCCTTTTCCAAAAATATAAATAGCAAAGTTTCAACAAGTTTGGTCTCTTGGCTATCAAGAAGACAATGAACCTGTTTTTGTTGACTGCCTTCTAGATGTAGTCAATAAAACTGATTTAAATTACCCAAAAACTCTATCTCTTGGAACTTTTTAAACATCACACTGACTTGACCATCTGAGATGTACAAAGGAGAATTGAACCCACATACACGTACAGTTGGGTGTAAAAATACATCAAACTCAACAACAACAAAAAAAAATTGAGGGTGAAATGGAAGGAAAAGGAGGAAGGAAAACACCAGAGAGGGAACAGCTGCAAGCAAAACAAATGTCCTGCTCCTGAAAGGAAATGAAAAAGAAAAAAAAAAAGAATCTAAGAGGGTGCCCATTAATTCGGGAATGGCTGAACAAATTGTGGTATATGAATGAAATGGAATATTATTGCACTGTAGGAAATGACAAAATATGATTTCAAAGAATCCTAGGTAGTATGAACTGATTGACAGTGGAGTAGAGGCAAACCAATTTACACTGTAAAGACATTGTAAAGAAAAATAACTCTAAGAGACTTAATAACTCTGATCAACATAATGAGCAACAATGTCCAGACAGCCTATGATGAAGCACGTTACCAGCCTTTTCACAGGTGATAAACCAAGGTGCAGAAAGAAATGCCCATTTTAGGGCAAGGCTATGGTATACATTCATTTTGCTTGACTATTGTTAGACAGGTAAACACACTAACTACACCATTTCTTAGGGAGGAGACACAGGAGGGCTTCTAGCACCCCTCTCACTAGCAGGTTCATTTTTGATCCGATCAAACAGGAAGACAGGAATGGAGTCGTAAGGGGTTAGATAAGCTTACTTTATTCTAGTCTAGTCTTCTCAAAGGGAGTTTGCTGATAATGGGAGCTCCAACTCCCACAGCATTCCCTAATAACTCTTCTGGCAGGGGCCAGCATGAAGTGGGGGGCAATAACCCCTTCGACATGATGGGGTCAATCGAGACCAGCACAACTTGTGAACTGTCCTACAGGGATTTGCCCTTAAGGCAAACACACAGATTACCCCACCCAAGCCTTGATGGGGCTGATTGAGGCATGCACAGCATTCAACCTGCACATTCACCACTATGGGGGTCCCCAGTCACTGACCAGTGCCCACTTGCTTTATAGGGCAACAAAGAAGGCATATTGCCATCAATAGCCTCACAATTTTATATTACTTCATCCCTATATCTACTGACTGTGCAGTAGTAACTGTCTTCAACTATGATCGTGAGAACTCATCTAACACCTGGAAAGTAGAGCTTGCTATGGCTATGGATCATGGAAAGAAAGCTCTAAGAAAGAATAACAAAAAAATCTACTTTACACATGCTAAAATTCACCTTACTTTTATTTTATTTTATTGTAAAATTTTCTTCTTTTAAAGTAAGCCCTCCCTATCTTAGCCAGACTGGAAACTGCTTTAAAAGATCAGTTTTCTGGGTTTTTTTTAATTTCCAAATGATTTTTAACCTAGAATGCATTTATTTAAAAGCAGCAACTTTTGATGTTAAAAGTCTTTAAATCCCCATCAGCAAATATCTTCTAGAGTTAGTTCTTAGCACTAAAATTCTATTTATTTTAAAGACTGGCTCTCCCAGGCTGGAATTGAAGGGACTACTTGTGGGTCAGTCCACAGGAACTTTGACCGACTTCATTTCAGAGCTGGCCTAATTTGCCCTTTCTTAGGCAACCTGTGGTCATCAGGCTTCCAGGAGGCTCACCATATTCATGATCAGCTTAATGCAGACAGCCAATCAGCACAGTCAATTTCAGTTTAGAATTCCAGAGCTCAAGATCTGCTAGCCAGAGCCTTCCAGGTAGCTGGGATTACAGCTGCGCATCATTATCACTGGTTGCTTGTTACATACATATTTTTTTTCTTCTTGATTTTTAAATTGAGTTGGGAGGGTTGGAGAGGAGAGGGGGCAGTGATGCAGTGAGAGAGCATGCCACGAGTCACTCACCTTCTCTGAGAGAGAGCCACTGAAACAATTTTTAAATTACACAGAAGAAAGTTCCGAAGGAAGCATAGAAATGCAATTATACCTTTGAAAGTAAAATGTGGAATTTATCATAGACTTTTTTTTTTTTAAAACAAGGAACATAAAATGAAGATTCATGGTTTCATGTAGAATCCTTTTTGTTTTTTCCTGCATATGTGGAAATGCTTTTTAAAAGAGTGTTTAGTGTTTAAGTGCAGAATTTTAAAAATTAAAAAGATGGAAGACAACCACCAAGAAGAAGATGGTCCCAAGTCCTGACCTAGTTTGCCAGAAGACATTGAGGGAAACTGTGCAGGGTCAAGGTGAAATGTCAGTTGCTTTATGTTGTTATGAGGTTTAAGTATCAACCTCCCAGGGGCACATAATTATGCATATAATTTACTGAATCCTTTTAAGGGTTGCTCTCAATAGGAGTGTGTGTCTTTTAGAATTTCTTTTTTTGTGTAGGAAATATTGATTCATATTCTACATTGAGTACTATTCTGTTCCCCACTTTTTGGGAAAACCAGGAACTAAAGTCTTAAGTAATTTTCTCCTAGGGCATCATGGAAGGGTGTTAGGGAGTTGAAAAATGTGAGAAAAGGGAGTCCAGTCTCCTTGGAGGTCTGGCTCCCCGACACCGAACCCTTTGATAGGGGCCCCTTGGAGGAGAGAGAGAGTAGGTTCACTGCCAGCCACAGGTCTTTCTTGTTAGATAGGCCTCTCTAATGTAGCCCAAGATCACACCAGTTTTCCTGGCTGTCAGTTACATGGTAACTCATTCGTTGACTTTGTAGTACACACAACCCTCTCTCTATATTTTCAGACAAACTGCTGACCGTAAATTGTAAATGTGATTTCATTGGTATGGGGAAAACCCAGGAAGGAAGTTCCCTCTGCCAATGCCTATTAGCACTTGTTCTACAAATGACAGTCCCAGAGAGATGCGGCATTGAGAAGTTAAGTGATGTGCCCAAGGTCACACCTCCCTGACATGTCAGAGGCAGGACTCAAACTCGGGTCATCCTGATTGACTCTGAAACACGTTCTTTATCCATTACGCCAAAGCCAGATCAACAAAAGCAAATTGCATACATGACTACAGTGATATGAAAGAAGAAAACAAGGCCAAAGGCAGTGGAACCTATTAGTGGACATAAAAAAAGCATATTAAAATTTTTTTTCTTTGTTAATTTATTTAGTTCTACCCTGTTAAATGCTAAAGGCTTATGAAAACATTAATTTTTGTTTCATCATGTGTGTGTTTATTTGATTATTTGTTTTTGTTGAGAGTTGTGGATTTTTTTTTTTTTTATTTTTTGCACGTAAGGCATTCTCTATAGAAGACCGGGGTTGAACTCCTAATTCTGCCACTTGCTGGGACAAGTCACTCACCTTCTCTGAGCCTCAGCTTTCTTCTCTGTAAAATGGAAGTGATAATACTTGTAGTATTTACTATATCATAACTCAATAACTCCCTGTCACTGAGTGACAAATTAAGTCGTGGGAAAGTACTGAAGAATCCTGAAGGCTTAGATTATTTCAAATGTCAAGTTTATTATATTCATTGAATTTGTGCACATAGGATGAATATTTTTATTTTCTGGTTCCTAGTCCTAAATATGATATACTCAATATTCCTTTTCTAACTCAGAAAACAATGATTTCCTTTAGATGAACTTAATAACAATATGAAATGTTTATGTGTTAAGATTAAGCATTTAAGTACTCAAAACAAAGAATTAATCACATCAAAATATCAAAGTTAAACACTAAATTTTCTATATCATAATTATTCTTTTTTATACTGCAACAGATAACATTTGCTTATTATGAAGTAGCTTGTTTTATCTGATTTTCAAATGCCTGACTTATAAGCTGAATAGAATCATAATTTAGTAACTTTTTATTCAAAGTAAAGACTTTACATACTCAAACAGAAAAAACCTTCAAATACAATTTGAAGCTTTAGCCTTGACTGCAATTAAGTGCTTTGTGAAGAGGAGATCTGGTACTTATTGGCTGAATTCCCAACAGCTGCTTAGTGGCAGAGTCCCAGTCTTTGCCCAACTCAAGCCGAGAGCAAAGAGAAGGATATTGTGCTTCGGTTCTTCTTACCCATTCCACTGCTTTCTTTACTGAATCAAAACTCCAGTACCTGTCACAGGATCTAAGAATAAATAGGACTATTAAACCTCAAAATATGGCTATATAAGAAACCAGGCTTGTGGCCTCGCATTTCATATTAGAAGAAATCTTATCATAAATGAAAACATTAGGAATACCACTTTTACATTTAATGAAAACAACTAATTGAGACAACCAAATACTTTGGCCTATCTTTTGTATCCCTTCAGAATAACAATGACACTTACACATTAAGTCCTTGTCCCTGTCATAATCCTTATTCCCACATCTATACTACTGCCCAGAATATCCTTTCAAGGTCTTTCCATTTCCCTGCATCCTACTATCTTTCAAGGCCAAACTGAAATAACACCTCTATTAATCCTTTCCAGACTGTTCCAACCCATATTGACTTCTTCCTTTACTTGAATTTTACTTGTAACCAGTATAACCAGTTAGCACTTAATTAAAGATGGTTGATTAGAGAGGAAGTATGGCTATTGGTAAAGAGCTACATCCGAAGTCAGGAAGAGCTAAATTCAAATCCAGCCTCTGAGAATTACTAGCTATGTGACTATGGGCAAACACTTAATCTCTCTGGGTATCAGACAGCAGTACCATCTCATAAAGCAGTTATGAGAAGTGGATGCCAAATGCTTCACAAACTTTAAAGTGCTATGGAAATATATTATCATTATTAACCATTTCATCTATGTTAGTTCTACCTCCCAATTTACCTGCAAATTAATAGAGCCAGCTAGGTTTTGTAAGCACTGGGTCTGGAGTCAGGAGGACCTGAGTTCAAATCCTGCGTCAGACACTTATTAGCTATGTGACCCTGGGTAAGTCACTTCATCTCTGCCTGCCTCAGTTCCCTCATCTGTAAAATAAGGATAATAATAGCACCTACTTCCCAGGATTGTTGTGAGAATAAAATGACATAATATTTATAAAACATTTTACAGACCTTCAAACCCTATAAAAATGCTAGCTGTTATTATTAAGGGCAAGTGTCAAAGCTTACACAGACTTTTGTATTTCTGATAGCTAGGCACATATTAGACATTACTAAGTACTTGCTAATTAAGACTGATGATTTGAAAAGTAGAAAACATTTTCCTAAAAACAGTGCTTCAAAACTCTAACACCACACTTTAAAAGCTCACCTTGATTTTAGTTGCTTAAAACAATAAAAAGAGATCTGTGAAGAATGCCAAGGATTTCCTTCAAGAGTAGGTTTTGAAATAAAATTATATTCAAAGTTCTACTTTGCTTTGGGCAAGGTTTAGGGGTCCTAAGTAATTTAGGAATGTCAAACTTTACACTCTATACTTTATATATATATATAATGTATTACACACATATATTTTACTATTATTGCTTTTGTAGCGCTAAACTTCTCAGCCTTCACAAAGTCCTACTCAATGTCTCACTGTGGTATGGAGTTGAGCCCAAAGTTCTTGAAATTTATGCCAGCAGAGCAAAGCTATTATGCTGGAAAGGTTTGGTGAATGGTCCAAGAACAAATTCTCTGCTCTGAAGACTAACCTAGCTAAGAATGGAGAGGCTTATCATATCCTGTAAGATGGCCATAGAGTGACCACATTCTTTGGCAACCCATAAAATAGGAACATTTCAAAACTTTAATTGATCTGAGATTTCATTGATAGAGTATTCCCTCCAAGATTCAGGTTACAAGGAAGAATTGATAGCCAGATAAGTAAGGAGATAGAGAGCACCTAGCTGCCTTTCATGAATTCAAGTCACCTGACTCAGATGAACTCTATCCTTGGGTCCTAAAAGAACTGGCAGATGGGATTGCTGAGCCACTGTTGGAATATTTGAAAGAACACAGAAAGCAGGAGATTGCTAACCACAAGATTAGAAAATGGCAAATATCCTGATTTTCAAAAAAGGGAAGCCAACAGTCTACAAACTCTAGACCAGCAAGTTTGACATCTATTCCTGGGAAAATTCTAGAATGATGTTTGAAGAAATTGTTGGTGAACATTTTCAGAAAGGAGCTTACAGACCTACAGTCACACCAGACTGATAGCATTTCCTTTTCTGACAGGATTACTATACTAGTAGACAAGGGAGATGCTATGGGTATAGTCTACTAGACTTTACAGTGATTTTGATAAAAAGTATCTCATACGATTTTTGTGGAGAAGAGGAGACTAGATGATAATGCAGATAGAATAAGAACTGCTCACATGGCCTGACTCAAAGGGTAGTTAGTGGTTTCCAGTGGAGTACCTTGCTGTATTTAGCCTACGCTGTTTAACATTTCTATCAACGATTTGGCATAGATAAAGGCAGAGATGGTGTGCTCATCACATTTGCAGATGACACGAAGCTGGGAAGAAGAGTTAATAGTGGATGACATAAGCAGGTTACAAAAGGATCTTAATGGGCTAGACTGGAGTATTGTGCCAAATCTATCCGATGATGAAATTCAACAGGGATAAATGTAAAGTCCAGCTCTCAGGAACAAAAAATCAGCTCCACAGATATAAAATGGAGATATAAAATTAGACATAGCAGGAATAACAATTACAGAACACTTCCTTCCCCTGCCCCCAAACCTGGATCATTGTTGTTGTTTGTTCTTCAGTTGTGACCAATTTTTCGTGACTTCATTTGGGGTTTTCTTGGCAAAGATAGTGGGGTGGTTTGCCATTTCTTTCTCCAGCTCATTTTAGAGATGAGGAAACTTGAGGTAGAGTAGTGATTTGCCCAGGGTCACACAGCTAGTAAGTGTCTGAGGCCATATTTCAACTCAGGAGCTTGAGTCTTCCTGACTCTAGACCTGGCACTCTATCCACTGAGGCACTTAGCTGCCCCAACCTGGAGCATCCTCTCCCACAAATAAACACAGAGTCCAGAGGTGGAGAGAGTGGATACAGACTTGAAATACAACAGTATTAAGGCACATGTGACTAAGACAATTCAGAACTCAGGAAGTGCAGGGCCTAATGCTCCTTCTCTTTCCAGGCCTCCTGAAGGTCACTTAGGGTATGGTGCAGGGTGACGGAGGAGGCTGGGCAGGCTCCACTCAGGGCACAGAACTTAGCTGGACAGTAATCTCAGTGGGGATTGCTCCTCTAGGATATTGCATCTCCATTGGATGAGTCAATGTGCTAAACACCCTGGCTCACTTTTTGATAGGCAGCTCGCATTTCTACCACCCCCAGCCTCAGGTTTGCCTGGGTGCCCCTGTGCTCTGTAGCTAGAGTGCTGCCTTTGTGGGAGATCCCTAGCAGAGGACTGGCTGAAGCCTTTCAAGTTCTGTTCCTTCAGGGCCTTAACTCTTCAGTTTGCTCTCATCTCCCACCAGAAAGGAGGGATAGGGACTGCTTCTCCTGTTTGGCAAATCTTTCTGTTTCAGAGCTCAGTTATTTTGGTGACGGACTTTGCCCTACATAAAGATAACCTACATGTGCATATCCCAAATTCCTGGATCTATGCAAATGAATGACGGGGAATGGTTCCTTAGGCTTTTTTGGTTCTGGATTCATTGTCAATTCCAGTCTTTTCACATGCAATTGACCACTTCTGGTTCCCCAAAAATTGTAAAATGTTTTATCTGCACTTGAAAGGGCCTCAATCATCCATTTCACCATCTCTATTTTTGCCACTTAAGACTTCAAACTTTGCTGAAATCTAAAAAGCACACACCCCTAAATAATGATTTATGTTTTGTAATTTTCTAGACATAGTCTTAGACATAGGAATGTACCTCTATATAATGTTAGAAGAATAGCTAATATTTCTATATTGCTTTAATATTGCTTTTGCAAAGTATTTTACAGACATCATCACATTTGACTCTCACCATAACCCTTTAAAGGGTTACATGACTTACTCATGGTCCTAAAGCATAGTGAATATCAGAGACAGGATTTTAACACAGATCCCTGCTTACCTCAAGTCCCCTTTAAACTACACCATGCTGCTTGCAAAGTCAATTAATAAGACTATAAGAAAAATGTTTCACCTACTTAAGAAAAACTGATTCCAAGGACTGTACAAGTACTCATTTACATAGTACATGAAATCGGGCAATAGGATGTGCCAATTCCCAATCATTTATTGAAACACATTTCCAAAAGATCTCTACTTGCCAATGTTTATTGACTTAACCATTCTTATTACATCTGCTCCATGTCCTTGAAAGCAATATACCTGATTATTTTAAAATATTACATAATTCAGATTGGCTTTTCCTCAATCAAAATATTTTTTTATTGAGCACTTCCTATTCATTCAGAGAGGACAAAAAGGATGTGAACTAAAAAAAGGTCACTGGTTTTGGCAATTAGGAAGTCAATGGTACCTTTTGACAAAGCAGTTTCTGTAAAGTGGTGATAATAGAAGCCAGATTATAAGGGGGTTGAGGAATGAATTAGGAGGTAAGGAAATAGATATATCAAATGGAGGCAACTCAAGAAGCTTTACAGTGACAGCAGGGAGGGAGAAAGGAAGATGGCTATTTGGGGTGCAAGGTTGTTGTTTTTTTTAAGCTTGTGATTAGTGCTGTACTAAATTATACAAGCTAGACTGAAGCAATTTGTTACTTATTTTAATACTGTCTTATGATGAGAGGTTGGGAAAATAGTAAAGATAGAGGGTCTAGAAGCAGAGGGATGGAGACATAACCATTCACTGAAAAGCTTCTCTAGTGGAAGAACTGTAATACCATGGATTTAGAATTGGAAAGTCTATTTGAGATCAGCTAGTCCAGAGGTGTCAGGAGAAGGAAAGGATGGGGACAACTGTACCTTGACCAGTAGTATTGCCTCTCCCAACCATCAATTTGGTGACTAACAGTCACAATACATATCTTTCAGGGGCAAGATGATAAATCTCTATCGGAGACTTTTATATGCTTAAGATTGCAGGAAGGTTTCTGAAAGCTTTATTTAATCCATATTTAAATATAAAATTGAGTTGCTTCTTGAGGGTAGGGATTGTTTCATTCTTTATATTTGTATTTCTAGCAACTAGTGGGTTCCTGGCTCATAGCAGGTAGTTAGTAAGTGCTTGTTGGTCGACTGATTGCTCAATGCTGACTATAAAGCATACCCGTAAGCAGCTGAGTCATCTAATTTCATCAGTGACTTGACGGCTATCCCTTCTAGCTCCAGGTTAGCTCGAATGAGCTGTAGCACCAGAAATGTGGCAACCAGCTGTAATACATCTTCTTTTCCTTTGGAACCTAAAAGAAAAGTCCTAGCAGTCATTTGCAATTGCGAATAATAATACCACTAAAAATATGAAGATATAATAGTAGATTATGAAATAATATGCAGAACAACACTCTGAAGAAACAGAACACATTTAATTTAATGTCCTTAATATTAAATAAGAATAATATACAAAAGGGACACTCACTATGCTACATCACTACAAAGGCAGCTAAGCTTGGGTTGGTTCTGCCAAACTCCAAAGACTTTGATTACAGGCCTGGTGATGGGTTTTTTGTTGGTTGTAGAGAGCCAGTTTGGTTAAGTTCAGGGAGTCTCGTCACCCAAAAGGTGGCCACCAGGTGATGATGCTTTTTTGGCCATAGCAACTCACAAAACTGAATATTAAGGAGGAATAGTTTCAATCTGCTTTTGTACAAGAAGTTCCCATAACTGATTAAATCACAGGTCATTTGGAGTAAACTAGAAAGCTTGAGACCATATATGTATGGTGAAGGGGCAGAGCTTTGAGTAATCATTCTTTCTGTTAATGAAGAAAGTCTTATTCAAACACCTAGGCTTGAGCCCAAGATTACATGTTCAAAAGTGGTACTTGAAGTTTTTGTAGCTTAAAGTAAAGAAGTCTTCATTTTAAATCTAAACAAAACTTAGGTAGAACTCTTTTAGTAAAATCTTTAAAAATTATTTTCTAAAATGCTTACTTAACACATTTTTCACTTTATTTTTCTTGCTTTTTTGCAGCATGTTTAATATAGAAATGTTATGCATGATTTCACATATGTAATTGATACATTGCTTGCTTGCTAATGAAAGCTTTAAGTTTTACCTGCTATCAGCTTTTCCATCTCTTATAATCTTCACTGAAAATTACAAAAGAGGCCAGTCTAGCCATGATACCTTATGACTGAAGGTAGTGCAAAACTAACTTACAGTCCCTTGAATCCCTGAGGCTCGTCTCCAGGAAACAACCTTGAACTCAACTCAGCCCTTTACTTATTGCTAACACACTCGTGTGTTCATCAAGGTTTCTAGACTTAGAGTCAAGCAAAACAAACCCACAACACATTGGCAATCTGACATTTAAAGCACTTTCATTCAATCTGGCTGCAGCCTATCTTTACAGGTTTATTCCCCTTCACTCACTCCACTCACTCCAAACTAGACCATTGCTGTACTTAGGACTTAACATTTTGGCTCTCATCTCTGTACCACAGGCTGCCTCCCTGCCTAGAATGCAGCCTCCTTTTTTGCCTTTGCCTCCTAAGATGCTATCTTCTTTTCAAGGTTTGGCTCAAGGGTCATATTTTATTTTATTTTTTTTTAAAGGCAATTGGGGTTAAGTGACTTTCCCAGGGTCACACAGAGGGTCATATTTTGAATGAAGCCTTTCCTAATGTTATTGTTCCCACAAATGTTAATGCTTTTTCTTCTCAAGTGATCTCTGTGTCCATGTTGTACCCCACTTCCAAGAGATTTGAGGACAGGGATTATTTCATTTTTGTATTGCCATCATCTAACAACATGCTTTGCACACAAGAGCATATTGACCAATCACATATAGAGGCATAAATTCAGATATCACTTTGGGCTACTACTTCTCAGCATTTCTCCCTAAGAAATAGTGAAATTAAGCCAAAGTCCATATTTAGCCTGGAGATGAGTGGTTTGCAAATCTGCCTTTATTAGCATTCTTTTGATCACAGGACCATAAATTTGGAGTTGGAAAGGACATCAGAGATCATCTAGTACTACTGCTTCATTTTACAACTGAGAGAACTGAAGCCTAGAGAGATGAAGGAATTGCTCAAGGTCACCCAGGCAGTAGCAACAGAGAAGAGTTTAAACCCAGATCCTCTTAACTCCAAATCTAGCCCTCTTTTCACTATGCCACACTCCCTCTCCCCAAATGAGGACTTCAAGTTCAAGAGACAAAATTTTGAAACTGTATTAATATCTTCCACCTAGCAATACAATCAGGATATTAACAGTGTTAATTGGGACAGCTTGGTGATGCAGTGGATAGAGCTCTGGCCTTGAAGTCAGGAGGACCTGAGTTCAAATGTGGTCTCAGACACTTGACACTAGCTGAGCAAGTGACTGGGCAAATCACTTAGCCCCCAATGCCTCACCAAAAAAACAAAAAAACAAACAAACAAAACAAAAAAACAAAAAAAACAATGTTAATCCTTTGACTAATCTCAAAGTATTTAACCATTTAAAGGTTTTAAAGGTAAGCACACAAATACATCTATTCTGAATGCAGAACACCAAAAAAATTCCTTTGTAGTTAATATAAATATAATCATTCTATTTGATGAATACTAGAAAGGAACTGAGTTTACCTAGGGATTGGATGCCTTTTTGCACAAGAAAGATGTTTAAATTATTCACATTCAGATTTAAAATCAGTCCAAGTTCAAGGTTAAGTTTCCAAAAGCCCTCCTGCAAAATTAAGGGGAAAAATAAAGAATGACAATTAGAATTTCATCTTGTAATGAAAAAAAGTGATGAATCTTTCATATTTTAATTCAATCAAGATTTTTAGAATTTGTATTCCTATAGTGTTAAAATGCATAGTGGAGTCCAATAAATCTTACTAATGAAAATATGATACCACATTGTAATTTTTTGAATACCACAAAAGTTAAACTCCTGATAGCATTTATAAATAAGAAGGTAGATCATCAGTAAAGTTGATTTTTTAAAAAATGAATCTGGACTATAAATGTTCTTAGACATATCAACATGTTCAACTTTAATGTCTAAGTATCCATGTTATGTAAATTATTGGAAGCCTCTACATGGCCTATATGGAACTTTGGGCATCCTGATCTCTATCCAAAGGGACGGATTCTTGGTGATTCAGAATATCAAAAAAAGTATTAAGATAGGCAGAGACACAGGTAAAAGGGGGGATATTTACGTAGGCCTGATCTTTAGAATGTTACTGGTGTGGTCAATCACTTATTATCAGTGTTTCCAATACAATTAACAATTATAGCTAATGAGTTAGGTCTTATTACCAGTATAGGAGTTCAATGTATAAAATGTTCATTCATCCTATGATAGGATGAGTTTGTGACTGTTATTACATTTGGAAACATATCTATATTCTAAAGAGATTATGCATGGAAAAACATATATATTATATACATATATGCACATGTATGTGCACACAACATATAGGTTTTTATATATATATTTAAGGTTACACATAACAAAGGCTATAGTTCATACTGAAAACTGAAAAAAAATCCTGAATACCATATATATATTAAAAAACATACATTTGAAGTTTTTGTCCCTCTTAAAAGCCTATTTAGAAACAGCCTAGAGTTTCAGAAAATATGCCTTATTCCGTGGCCTTTGCACTGATCCTAATTTTTCCTTAAGAGGAAGAGCAATGTTCAGTAGCAGAGTGTGCTAATCAGCTGGGACAGCAGTTACTAGCAAAGAAAGATGTAGAGGAAAGACAGATACCTCACTCTGAAGCCTAAAAACTTGAGTCCAAAACACCAAATTCTCTTTAATACCACTCAACCAACTTTCTCTGTGGGTCATATCAGTCTGGTGTTTTTGTGTCTGAAAGGCAAAGATAAAGTCAGTAAAAAGTTTCTTTCATGTTAATGATTATATAGATCTTATCCAACTTTAGTTATGTTTCCAAAACATGTTGTCTTACCTCAGCAATTGATGGAGTAGCATTCTGTACTTTGCAACACCTCACTGCAAATGAAAAACCTGAAGACTCTGCTTCTGATCTAGTATCACTGGATGCAGAAGATGTCCACTCATGGGACCATAACAGTTGTTCATCATTTTCCTCTCCAAAAACATGTCCATGACTTGATGCAAGCCCTTGTATTTTCTTCCCAAATAATGATGAGCTTCCATAATCAACATCTGGAGGGGAGGCAGACCTTTCCTGAACTTTTAAAAATGATTCACTCAATCCCCTAGATTTTCGAATCTTAGGTGAGTCTAACTGAGACCTAGAAAGAAACTGGGCAGAACGAAAAAGAAGAGGAGGAGGAGGAGGAGGAGGAGGAGGAGGAAGAGAAGGAGAAGAAGGACAAGGAGGAGGAGGAGGAAGAGAAGAAGAAAGACAAGGAGGAGGAGGAGGAAGAGAAGAAGAAAGACAAGGAGGAGGAGGAGGAGGAGGAGGAGGAGGAAGAGAAGGAGGAGAAGGACGAGGAGGAGGAGGAGGAGGAAGAGAAGGAAGAGAAGGACGAGGAGGAGGAGGAGGAGGAGGAGGAAGAGAAGAGTATGAAAATGGAGCAGGAGGTGGACGTGCAAGAATAGGACAAGATAAAGGAGGGACGAAAATGTTCCCTGAACCCTGGAGTAGAGGAGGAGGAAAAGGAGAGTTTGCAGGAAGAAAACTAGAAGTAGTGAAGGTACCACAAGGAGAGCCAAAGCCTGAAAAAGGATGGGAAAAGGAGGAACTGGAAAGGGACTGGAAACTAACCAGAGAAAGAGGAGGGGAAGGAGGAGGAATTGAAGAGCAAAGAGTGAAAGGGTTTGTACCCTCCCAATCCAGTTTTTGTTTATTAAATAAAAATGTCACATCTGAATCTTTCTTAGTTAGATCTAATGCCTTGGCATGGTCATACTGGTCAGAAGCAAGAAGGAGATTTTCTGCTGATGTTTTTGGTAATGCATCATGGGAAGGAAATGGAGCAGAACAGATTCCCTCCATAGCCAAATCCAATTCTAAGTCCTCAGCTATGTGTGAGAATAGTCCAATCTTTTTTTCTGGACTGCCATGGAAGTGAAGCGATGCTGAATATTTCTTCACAGGAGAAGTAATGTCTGAAAAAGTAGCATTCCCTGAACCTAACTTAAAATCAGCTGGATCTTCATTGGGAGTTGTAAAATGTTTCAGCTTCTTTTTTTTGATACATTTTCGCTTAACCTGTGATATTTCATGAAGAAGAGGGAAAAACAGAAAAAAAATACAGAATTTCAGTCTTTCAAGCAGTTGAACAACTTTGTCCCCTACCAAGGAAAGAACATTTGAGAGAGGTGATTTCCAAAGTAACCTAAATTAAGACAACAGAAAGCAAAAACACAAGGTACATAAGTTATAATTTAATTCTTCTAACATGAATGAGACACTAAGGGTTTCCTAAAGATTTTTAAACTGTTATTGCTATACTCCAGTTACTCTTCGGATTTTTTCCCAGTTTCCTGTTTTTCCTTCTAATTTTGGCTGCATTGGTTTTATTTGTGCAAACCCTTTTTAATTCCATGTAATCAAAATTGTCTATTTTATCTCTTATTATCCTCTCTGTCTCTAGTTTGGTCTCTTATCCACAGATCTGACAGGTATTTTTTTCCATGCTCCCCTAATTTTTTTATATCACTCTTTATGTCTGAATCGTGTACCTATATCTTATCTTGTTATATGGTGAGAGATGTTGGTCTATGCTTAGTTTCTGCCAGACTCTTTTCCAATTTTTCCAGTAGTTTTTGTTGAATACTGAGTTCATGTCCCAATAGCTTGGATCTTTGGGTTTATCAAACACTAGGTTACTATGGTCATATTTCTGTATATTGTGTACCTAATCTATTCCACTGATCAACACTCTATCTCTTACCCAGTACCAGACTATTCTGATGATTACTGCTTTGTAGTATAGTTTGAGATCTGGTAGTGCTAAGCAGCCTTCTTACGCTTTTTTTTTTTTTTTAACATTGATTCCTTTGATATTCTTGACTTTATGTTCCTCCACATGAATTAAGTTACTTTTTTTTTCTAGTTCTATAAAATAATTCTTTGGTAGTTTGATATTCTATTAGTATGACAGTGAATTTGGGAATTTTAGGGAAATTGAATTAGGAATTAGGGAAATAAAAAATTAATTTAGGGAAATTAATTTAGGGACTATTGTCATTTTTATTACATTAGTTCTATCTACTTATGAGCAATCAATATTTCTCCAGTTATTTAGATTTGTCTTTATTTGTGTGAAGTGTTCTGTGATTGTGTTCATATAGTTCCTATGATGTCTTGGCAAGTAGACTCCCAAATATTTCACACTGTCTGCAATTATTTTAAGTGGAATTTTTCTTTCTATCACTTCCTGCTGGGTTTTGTAGATAATATATAGAAATGCTGATGATTTGTATGGATTTATTTTATATGTTGAAACTTTGCTAAAATTGTTAATTGTTTCAACTAGCTTTTAGTTGATTCTCTAGGGTTCTCCAAGTAGACCATCATATCTTCTCCAAGAGTGATAGTTTTGTTTCCTCAATGCCTATTCTTATTCCTTTAATTTCCTTTTTCTTGCCTTATTGCCAGAGCTAGCATCTCTAGTACAATATGGAATAATAATGGTGATAATAATAATGGTGACATCCTTGCTTCACCCCTGATCTTACTGAATAGGCTTCTAGTTTATTCCCATTATAGATAATGCTTGCTCTTGGTTTTAGATAGATACTATTTATCATTTTGAGAAAAGCCATTTATTTCTATGCTTTCTGGTGTTTTTAATAGGAATGGGTGTTGTATTTTGTCAAAAGCTTTTTCAACATCTAAGGATAGAAACATAATTTTTTTTGCTTTTGTCATTGATATTATATTATAGTTTTCCTAACATTGAACCAACCTTGCATTCCTGGTATAAATCCAAGCTAGTTACAGTGTATGATCTTTGTGATATATTAATGTAGTTTTCTTCCTAGTATTTTATTTAAAATTTTTGTATCGATATTCATTAGGGAAACTGGTCTAAGGCACGGGTGGAGAACTTGTGGCCTTGAGGCCACAGGTTCCTGACCTTGCTCTAAAGTTTTCTTTCTCTGTTTTTGCTCTCCCTGGCTTAGGAATCAAAACCACATTTGTGTCATAGAATGAATTTGGTAGGACTCCTTTACTTATTTTCCGAAATAGTTTATATAGTATTGGAACTAATTGTTTATTAAACATTTGGTAGAATTCACTTGTAAATCCAGCTGTCCTGGGAACCATTTCTTAGGAAGCTCATTTATGGCTTGTTCAATTTCTTTTTCTAAGATAGAGTTATTTAAGTATTCTATTTCTTCTTCTGTTAATCGGTTTTTTATTTTTATCTTTTTTATTTTTATTTCATTTATATTTTTATAAATATTCATTTCATTTAGATTGTCAGTTTTATTTTTAATTAGCAAAATAGTTCCTTATAATTTCTCTTAATTTCATCTTCATTGATGGTATTTTCACCTTTTTCATTTTTGATACTAGTAATTTGGTTTTCTTTTTTCTTTTTAAAAATCAAATTAAGTAACTGTAAATACCCTTTGATCTAGCAATGGCACTATTAGGTCTGTAACCCAAAGAGATCATAAAAGATAGATAAGGACCCACATGTAAAGATATTTATAGCAGCTCTTTTTGTGGTGGCAAAGAATTGGAAACTGAGGAGTTGCCCATCAATTGAGGAATGGCTGAACAAGTTGTGGTATATGAATGTAAAAGAATACTATTGTTCTATAAGAAATGATGAGCAGGCAGATTTCAGAAAAACCTGGAAAAACTCACATGAACTGATGCTGAGTGAATTGAGCAGAACCAGGAGAACAATTGTACACAGTAACAGCCACATGGTGCAAGGATTAGCTCTGATAGACTTAGCTCTTCTCAGCAATATAGTGATTTAAGACAATTCCAAAGGACTCATGATAGAAAATGCTATCCACATCCAGACAAAGAACTAGAGTCTGAATGCAGATTGAAGCACACTCTTTTCTTTCTCTCTTTTTTTTTTCCTCTCTCTTGTGGCTTTCCCCATTGGTTCTGATTCTTCTTTCTCAACATGACTAATGTGGAAATATGTTAAATATGATTGTACAAGTATAACCTATAGCAGATCGCATGCCATCTTGGGGAGGGGGAAGGGAAGAGGAAATTTGGAACTCAAAATCTTATAAAAGTGAATGTTGAAAACTAAAAATGAATTAAAAAATTAAAATTACCAAAAAAATCAAATTAAATAATGGTTTATCTATTTCATTTTTTCATAAAACTAACTCCTAGTTTTATTTATTAATTCAATTGTTTTTACTTTCTATTTTATTAATCTCTCCTTTGATTTGTAGGATTTCTATTTTGACACTTAATTGGGGATTTTTAATTTGTTCTTTTTCTAATTTTTTTTTTAGTTGCATGTCCAATTCATGGATTTGCTCTTTCTCTCTTTTATTGATATAAGCATTGAGAGATATAAAATTTCCCCTAAGTTCTGCTTTGGCTGCATCCCACAAATTTTGGTATGTTGTCTTATTGCTGTCATTTTCTTTAATAAAATTATTTATTGTTTCTATGAATTGCTCTTTGACCCACTCATTCTTTAGGATTAGAATATTTAGCTTCCAATTAATTTTAATCTATGTTTCAAAGGCCCCTTATTGAATGTAATTTTTATTGCATTATGATCTGAAAAGGGTATATTTAATACTTCTGATTTTTTTATTTTTTTGATGTTTTTAATGCCATAATACAATTTATATTTTATTTTTGTGAAGATGCCATACATACCTGAGAAAAGGTATGTTCCTTTCTATTCCCATTCAGTATTGTCCAGCGATCTATCACATCTAACTTTTCTAAAATTCTATTTATCTCTTTATCTTCTTTTTTATTTATTTTGTGGGTAAGATTAATCTCTGTCTAAGAACTGAGGTCCCTCAATAGTATAGTTTTACTATAAATTGAGGTCCCCCAATAATATAGTTTTACTGTCTATTTTCTCCTATAATTCATTTAACTTTTCCTTCAAGAATTTGGATGCTATGCAATTTGGTGCATATATATTTAGTATTAATATTAATTCATCATCTATGGTACTTTTAACAGAATGTATTTACTCTGCTTATCTCATTTAATTAGGTCTATTTTTGCCTCTGCTTTGTCTAAAATAAAAATTGTTACTCCTGCCTTTTTTACTTCAGCTGAAGCATAACAGGTTTGTATGCTCGAGCTCCTTACTTTAATTCTGTTTAAAGTATCTGGGTGTCTTTCTATTTCAAGTGTGTCTGTTGTAAACAACATATTGTTGGATTGTGGTTTCTAATCTAATCTGCCAAGTAGCTAGATGGCACAGTGGATAGAGTGCTGGGTCTGAAGTTAGGAAGACCAATCTTCCTGAATTCAAATCTGGCTTCAGACACTAACTAGTTGTGTGGCCCTGGGCAACTCATTTAACCCTGTTTACCTCAGTTTCCTCATCTGCAAAATGAGCTGGAGAAGGAAATGGCAAACCACTCTAGTAGCTTTGCCTAGAAAACCCCAAATGGGGTCAGGAAGAGTTGGATACAACTGAAATGACTAAACAACAATAAATCCTTTCTGCTATCTGCCTCTGTTTTATGTGTAAGTTCATCCCATTCACATTCACAGTTATTATTATTAAGTGCATTTCCCTCCATCCTATTCCCTTCTTCTATTTCTTCTCCTTTTTTTAAACCCTGTGCCCTCCTCAAAAGGCTGTTTGGCTTCTGATCACTGCCTCCCTTAAATAAAAATCAAAACAACTCTAAGGTTTCATCTCACACCCTTAAAATTGGCAAAGATGATAAAAAATGTCAATGTTGGAGGGGTTGCAAAATGATAGTCACATTAATACCTGTGAAGCTATGAAATGATAGTCATCTTGGAAAACAATTTGGAATTATGCAAATAAAGTAACTAAAATATCCATACTCTCTGAATCAGAGACTCCATTACTGGACTTATAACCCAAGGAAGCCATCAATTAGAAGAAAGTCCCCACATACACCAAAATGTTTATAACAGCCCTTTTTGTGATAGAAAATGATTGGGAACAAAGAACATGCCCGTCAATTGGGGAATGGCTAATCAAATCATGGTATATGAATGTAATAGAATATTACTATGCTGTAAGAAATTATGTATGTGATGAATACAGAGGAGCATGGGAAGAACAACATGGACTAATACAGTGTGATAAAATAAGCAGAGTCAAGGAAACAATGTACATAATAACTACACCTACGTAAATCAAAGAACCATAAACCAAAAAAATTAAGTGAATGTCACAAAATTATAAAGATCAAACATGACTCAGATGGAGAAAAAGAAAGGATACCCCAACCTACCCCTTCATGAAGGTAGGAGGTCCACAGGGGTTATATATTGTTCATGTTTTCAGACTTTTTCAATTTAGTAATCAGTTGTGCTGATTTCTTTTTCTCTCTAAAAAGTACTATTTGTTATATCGTATGCCATAGCTCTCTGAGAGGGGAGGAAGAAGAATACTGGGGATAACTATAATGACATAAGAAAAAGAAGACCAATAAAAACTTTTAACAAAAAAGAAAAAGGGAATGAGAGTAGATTGTTATGTATATTCACTTATTCCTATCCCATGCAAATAGTACGAGAATTTACATTAGTTTGCTGCTAGTGACCTTCACTGATTAATTACATACACACTTGTCATATATCAAGGTCACAGAAGGAGGTGATAGCACTCTACATTCTCCTTAGATCACCTACACATTATACACAAGGTAGAAAACTAGAGGTGGATATAATTACCAAATTCCACTTTTAGGATAAAACAGATTTTGCATTTGTTTTCACTATGAAAAAAAGAGGAGCAGTAGCATATGTAGAGTTGAGGCACTGACAATGAGATTATGTTAATTAATGATACTTTACTATAACTATTTTAATAGAGATAGGTATAAGAACTAGACCTGTGAGATTACTGCTACATAAAATTCTCAGATGAGGAAATTCTCATTACCATTGCAGGTCATTACTCCTCCGTGACGTACAGCCTTCAGAGAGTTGCCCTGAGCTCTGATATTAAGTGACTTGCCCAGAATCACTCACACAGATAGTATGTGTCAGACTTCAATCTGGGTTTTCCTGACTTTGAGGCCAATTTTCTACTCCTCATGCCATCCTGCCTCTCTATTTAAAAAAGTAAACACATTTTAAAAAGCATTTTCAATGCAGCTATGGTGCTCTGGAAATGGAGCAACAAAATAAAAGTCCTGGATCTATACGTTCAATCTCTTGTTTGCTGCTAATAGATCTGCGGATGTGGTACAAAGAAAATTTATCGGCCTTCGCTTTCTTTAATATCAGTCTAAATGACATATATTCATATCTTCTCCTCTGAAATGTCAGTCGGTCAATAAACATTTATTAAATGTCTACTTTGTGCCAAGAACTATGCTAAGTGCTAGGATACAAAAAGAGGCAAAAGATAGTCTCTGCCCTCAAGGAGCTCAATATCTAAAAGGGTAGGACTGCAAGCAAACAAATATGAACAAACAAGCAGGAAAAAAATATACATATTTTTGTATATACACACATGTATATAGGAATAGGAAAATAGGAAACAATTAAAAGAGGGAAGGCAATGGAATTAAGAAAAGTTGGGAAATGCTTTCTGAAGAGGAAAGGATTTTAATTGGGTCTTGAAGGAAGCCAGGAGGCTTGCCAGAAATGAGGAGAGAGAGCATTCCAGGCATGGGGGACAGATAGAGAAAATGCCTGCAGCCAAGAGATGGAATATCTTATTTGGAGAATAGCAAAAAGGCCAGTGTCACTGGATCGAAGAATATGTGGTACAGAATAAACTGTAAGAAGGCTAGAAAAATGGTGGGGGCATGTGGAAAGGGTTAGAATATGAAGGGCATTGAACAACAAACAGATTTTGTATTTGATGAGGTGATAGGGAGCCATTGGAGTTTATTGAATGGGAAGGGGGCGGAGTGACATGGTTGGACCTGTGCTTTGGGAAAACTACTTTGGCAGCTGAAAAGTGGATGGAATGAAGTGGGAAGAGACTTGAGGCAGGCAGACCCACCAGTAGGATATTGTAGGAATCAAGGTGTAAGGTTATGAGGGCCTGTACTAGAGTGGTGGCAGTGTCAGAGGAGAGAAGAAGTGGGATTTGAGAGATGTTGCAAAGGTGAAAACAACAGGCCTTGGCAATAGTTTGGATATAGGGGGTTAGACATAGAAAGGGGGCCAGGATAACTCCTAGGTTGTGAGCCTGAGGGACTGGGATGATGGTGCTGCTCTCTGCAATAACAGGGAAGGTAAGAGGTAGAGAAGGGTTGAGAGAAAGATAATAAGCTCTGTTTTGGATGTATTGCATTTAAAATATCTACTGAATATCTACTGAATATCCAGTTCAAGATGTGTGAAAGGCAGTTAGAAATGGGAAATTGTAGTTTAGTAGAGAAGTTAGAGCAGGAAAAGTAGATTTGAGAATCATCAACATAGAAATGGTAATTAAAACCATGGAAGCTGATGAGATCACCAAGTGAAGTGCTACAGAAGAAGAAGAGAAGAAGGCTTAACCCTGAGGGACACCTACAATCAGAGGGCATGATCTAGAGGAGGATCCACCAAAGAAGACAGGCCAGAAAGGTAGGAGGAAAACCAGGAAAGAGTGATGTTCTAGAAACCTAGAGACAAGAGAGGATCCAGCAGAAGATGGTGATCAATAGTGTCAAAGGCTACAGAGAAGTCAAGGAGAATGAGGATTAAGAAAAAGCCACTGGATTTGGCAACTAAGAGATCATCAGTAACTTTGGAGAGAGCTGTTTTGGTGGGATGATGAGATCAGAAGCTCAATTGTAAAGTGTTAGGAAGTGAGCAAGAGGAGAGAGAATGGTAGAACCTATTGTAGATGACCTTTTCAAGGAGTTTGGCCACCCTGTATTTTTCATCATTTAAAGCACCTTCCATAGTTCAATGTACATAGGAGATGCTTAGTAGATAGTTATTGAATTAAATGGAGGATATGGTACATGCAAAAGCAAAACTGTGCTGTTTTATTGTGGCAAAGAATTAGAAACTGAAAGGGGAACCTATTAATTGGGAAATGGCTGAACAAGTTGTGGTTTATGTTTGTGATGGAATGCTATTGTGCTATAAGAAATGATGAAGGATGGTTTTAGAAAAACCTGAGACTTTTTTTTTTTGGTGAGGCAATTGAGTTTAAGTGATTTGACACATAGCTAGTGTCAAGTGTTTAATTTGAACTCAGGTCCTCCTGACTCCAGGGCCAGTGCTCTATCCACTGTGCCACCTAGCTGCCCCTCAACTGCATCTGAGAAGACTTTTTATGAACTGATGCAATGTAAAGTAAGCAGAACCAGGAGAATAACTTTACACAGTAACAACAGTATTGTAAAGACAAACAACTTTTAAAGATTAGGAACTCTGATCCATACAATGGAATACTTCCAGATAGAGGCAGGATGGATTTAGAGTGCAGATTGAAACTTTTTTTTGGATATGGTGAATGCAGGAATTTGCTTTGTTTGTAATGGTTTTGGTTTTTGCTTTTTCAATGGTTAGGGGAGAGAAAGGTTGGAGGGAGAAAATTTGAAACTCAAAATAAAATAAAACTGAATTTTTAAAAGTAAACCTGTGGGAAGAGAATACAATTTGTGTGTGTGTGTGTGTGTGTGTGTGTGTGTGTGTGTCTGTCTGTCTGTCTGTCTGTCTGTCCACTAATAAACTTGGCTCAAGAAGGTCCATTTTGAAAAAGACTTATTTAATATAAATAAAGTCTACATTATAAACTTTGCACTAAGACTTACGATCATCATTGCATCCTCTGGCTGTTCCACCTCCCAATCCATGTATGGCAGAAAGTCTATGTCTTCTGTGGTGATAAGTTCCAAAATATTTGGAGTATAGGGATCCAGTGATTTATTGCCATCCTGAGTAAAAACAAGTGAATTTAGGACTGATTTTTGTAATAAAGCTTTCATGACTTCATAGTCAGAGCACAGAAGACAATAAGTCCCAAATTGGGAACACTCCTAGAATTAGAGGATGAAGTCAATAAATGTTACCTTCTAAAACTAAAGCTAATCAAAATAAATCCACGACATTAATCAGCTACAAAAGTAGATGAGCTATTTACATGACTGAAGTGAATGAAACACCAATTGAGAGCTTTTCTCTAAACCAATGAATGGCTTTGTTGGAACTTCTGCTTTTTAAAAAAGAGCTGTAGCAGAACAGCCTCTGAAATTTAAGCTAAAAGTACAATGGCAGTCAGTCTACAAGTGCTTATTAACCTCCTACTAAGTGCTGGGGACACAAAGAAAAAGTAAAATCAGCTGCTCTCAAGGAGCTCACAGTCTAATTGAGGAGAGAACATGCAAATAACTGTGTACAGGAGAAACTGGAGATAATAAACAGAGGGAAGGCACTAGCATTAAGGAGGATCAGGATAGATTTCTTTTAGAAAGTAGTATTTTTTCTGAGACTTGAAGAAAGTCAGGGAAGCTTGGAGGCAGAAATGAGAAAGGTGAAAGTTCCAGGCATGGAAGACAGCCAGTGAAAATGTCCAGATTTGGGACATGGACAGCAAATTGTTCAAGCACAGCAAGGGAGCCAGTATCACTGGATTTATGTAGGAGGTGGGGATATAAGAAGTAAGAAGACTGGAAAGGTAGGAAGGGGCCAGGTTATGGAGAGCTTTAAAAGCCAAACAGAGAATTTTATAATTGATCCAGGAGACAATAGGGAGACACTGAAGTTGACTGAATAGGAGGTGACATGGTTACACGTGAGCTTTAAGAAGATCAGTTTGATAGCTGAGAGGAGAATGGACGGGAGTAGGGGAGAAACTTGAGGCAAGGAGACCAATCAGGGCACGGCTGCAATAGTCCTGGTGTGAGGTGATGAGGGTGCTCCCAGGGTGGTGGCAGCATCAGAGGAGGGAAGTGGATGTAATTGAGAGAGGTTGTGAAGATAGAAACAACAGGGGAGGCAAGAGTGTGAGGAGTTAGGGTTGACTCCTAGGCTTTGAGGATGGTAGTACCTCCACAGTGATGGAGGAGTATGTAAGAGGGGGGGTTGAGGGGGAAAGATAATGAGTTTAGTTTTGGACATGCTGAGTTTAAGATGTCTATGTGACATCTTAATTTCTAATAGGCAGTTGGAGATGTGGGACTGGAGGTCAGGAAAGAGGTTAGGACCAGACAAATAAACTGGAGACTCATCTGCACAGAAATGATAGTTGAAACCAAGGGAACTGATGAGATAAAAAATATAAAAAGTAGAGGGAGAAGAGAAAAGTGCCCAGGCCAGAGCCTTAGTGGACATTCATGATTAATGGGCAAGACCTGCAAGAAGATCGAGCAAAGGAGACTAAGAAGGAGTGGTTAGACAGGTACAAGGAGAAGCATGAGTGTTAAGGGGAAGAGGGTGATTGAAGAAACCACTCTGCTTATTGTGAAGAATAGGGAGCACCTCATTGGAGATTGCAGTTCAAGTCAGAAGCTAGAAGCAGAGAGGAATTCCACAGCCTCAGGACCAATGAAGCTGGGCCTGACCGTGATCATGAGATCAGCAGGCTACTGTCATGCATTGGCTTTGTAAGACCAAAAGAGAGCTGCCCCCAGCAGGGCTTACACACTTCCTATGGAGAGCAGAACTAGCAAAAAGAACACATTGGTAGCCCTACAGCTCCATAGGTACGAGTTGTCTCCACACTTGGACTATGACCACACATCTTCTCCATGCAAGTGCTGTCCACATGTGTTCCACATTTCCCACTAGTGTTGGAATTTGAGGGGAAATGTGTCCTAGTTTTGTGGAGAAATTGTTTTATTAGAGGGCAGCTAGGTGACACAGTAGATAAAGCACCAAAGGGCCTGGAGTTGGGAAGATCTGAATTCAAATCCAGCCTCAGACACTTATTACCTGTATGACCCTAGGCAAGTCATTTAACTGCTGGCCTACTTCATATTCCTCATTTATAAAATGGGGAGAATAACAACACCTGCCTCCCAGGACTGTTGTGAGGATCAAATGAGATAGTAATTGTAAAGTGTTCAGCACAGTGCCTGACACGTAGTGAGTTAACATATAAATGTTAGCTATTATTTTTATTATCATCATGGTTGTTGTTGTTGTTGTTGCTATTTTTCTTACTATGCTATTTCATTAAATGCTATTGCTTTGAATTAATTGTGTCCTCTGGTTAACTAGTAAATGTAAACATATCAATGATGGCTTGTGAGCTAAGGTCTCAAGTGAGTTAACTTGGGGTACTCTTGCCTGGGGGATTTACTGTGTGATTTGATGAGTGCCCCCCAGGTGCAATAGGTGCTAGGGATGCAAAGATTAAGAGGATAAATTAAACTTTCCCTGCTCTCAAGGTGTTTATATTCGACTGTTTATAAAGAAGACTAAAACCTATTCAATTGTATTGTAACATATCCAAGAAATGTTATTATTGCAAGTTGGAGTCTAGAAAAAGTAGAGCCAAAGAGTAAGAATTTGTCATTGTTTACCTAGGAAAAGTGGAGAAGAAAATGGCAAACCACTCCAGTACCTCTGCCATGTAAACCCCAAATGGAGTCACGAAGAGTCATATGAGACTGAAAAACAACTGAACAATCTAGGAAAGAGGGTTGTCTTATTTTGGACTACCCAAATCAGTTCTTCAGACAAGAATATCCTCAGAGTAAATTCAGCAGAATCTAACACGATTTTGCAATTAGTAGGGATTTAAGTATTTATTGAATTCTAATCAAGGTACCCTATTTTTATGGAAAAGTATAGGAGTCAAGGATCAGTACATGATGGTTTACCTTGCATTGGTTCAGCTACCACAAAATTACCATCCTTCAAGAATCAATACCTATTACCCAGCAGGTAATATTAATCCTGCCATCAAAGTGGTATTCTTCAGATACTGACTGCTATCCCATCAGACCACCACATTCTAAGTATGATATAGGCTCAAAGACAGTACTCTAGACAACCTCCCAAAGCTGAGGCAGCCAGATATGCAAAGACAATAATTAACAATAGATGACACTTCCAGGTGGTCTTTATAATTGCCCACCATCATAGGAATGTGCAGGCATACTTCACAAGGCCCTGTTAGACTCCTATCACTGACCACTGGAGCCATGGGGATAGACCACCACTTCTGCAATGGTCAAGAGATCAGCCTCAATCCTCAGGTCCATTAACTTCCTCAATAAGGGAGAAAAATATTTCTATTACCTCTCTCAAAAGATTATGTTGAAGAAAGCACTTTGGAAGCTGGAAAACACTATGGGAATGTGAGATATTGTAATTACTATTAATAAAATTATAGTTTCATAATTATTAATAATAAATCTATGCTTTATAATATCCTAGAAGATAACCTCTTTGCAGCAAAATGTCACTTAGTTTTTCCACTTTACTACATAAAGTTCATGATAAATTTAATAACTATGATTTAATAGCCCTAAGTTTTACTTATTTTCTTATTTAAGACAATTAAAATAATTTAATCACCTATTAACAGTAATACTTACCCTTTTTTCAACTGCCACAAAACTTGTAAATTGTGTTATAATAGAGTTCTCCTTGCTGAGTTTAATAATCAGAGACTTCAAAATTTGCTTCTTCATCTAGGTTGGAACATTTTAAATGGACATCAATGTTATACCAAACATGTATTTTGTATTCAAGGTATATAGATACTTAATTCATATAGACACACACACTATGTTTCTTTTCAATTCTGGTTTTTATCACTCCTTAAACAGAAATTATAGAAAACTCTGTTTTCCCTTTAGATAAGGAAGTATGATCCTATGTTTAGAGAGAACACTGGACTTGGAATCAGATGATATGGGTTCAAGCTTTGGCTTTTCCACATTTTTCAATATGTCACTTAATCTCCCTTAGCTTCAGTTTCCTCATCTATAAAATGGGTACAATGCTACTGACTTTTTATTTACTTCGCAAAGGTGCTATGAAAATTAAATAATATATGTGAAAAAGTTTTTTAAACTGTAAATACTCCTCAAATGTAAGATTTTATTGTTATCTATGAACATATTTTTATGATCAATATTCTAAGCAAAACATCCATGCAAAAATTTTCTTCTACATTTTTCACTTTCATAAGGTAGATAACTCCATGTCACACACCTAAGAGATCATTAACTGATCTGATAAATCATATTCAAAGGAATAGCAAAGACTTTGATAAAAATCAAATAAGGAAAGCTGCCTAATACAAGAACGATACTAAAAAATCTTGAAAATAATTTGTCAGTTTATCAATCCAAAAGTCTGATAATTTAGTGTTAGGTTAATTTAGGATCACCCTCCTTAAAAGCAACTGTTGCCTACCCATAGTATGGGGCTTTAGATAGTGTTTATTCTATGTCAACATCTATGAAGTCAAGAAATCTGTTATAAGCTTTCACCTTTGGAAAGCAGTTACAGATCTGTAGCTTCATGAATTCAAGAGGGAAATCTCTCTACAATAATAAAAATCTTTTGTCAGATATTTTATAGGATCATAGCTTGAAAGGACTTTATTTTTATTTTTTTTTTGAAAGAATTTTAAAGATGATCTTGTCCAACCCTCTCATCCTACAGGTAAGGAAAGTGAAACCCAGAGAGCTTAGATGGCTCATCCAAGATCACATAAATAAGAAATGGGACTTGAAATCAGGTTTTAAGACCCTCAGTTAAGAGCTCCTTCAAGTCCACTTCTCTTTCCACTGGAGCCTAATATTACATTTGCTCTTGCTGTTACCTTAATTTTCAGGACTAGAAATCTCTTTTGGTTTTTCTTTTAAATGAAAATGTAATAGAGGAAAATAAAGTGAGACTTTCTCTCTAAAAGAAATAAAAAGAGATGAAGCTATTCTTCATCATGTTTTTGCTTCTATTCTGGGATGAGATTATCTCTAAAGTTCCTTCCAGTTCTAAATTCTATGATTCTATAATCCTCTTTAAGATAAATTCCTTTCACCCTAAAAAATAGATTTATTTCTTTATCCTGATTACTTAACTTCACATGTTGTTGGCTACATCAGTTTAAGGAAGATTTTCTAAAAATCAAAGCATATTTTCCATAGAAAGAACAAACCTCATGTTTTGTTTCATCTTCATGGAGTATTCCATCTTCATAATCTCTAATGAGAGCTCTAGCTGTTAGCTTGTGAAGCATCTACATTTCAGGGGCAAAAGAAAACAATTGTAACTTTTCTTTGATTCCCACTTCACCTTCTCATCTTTAAAAAGTCATTAATTAATTTCTGCTGTTCCTTAATGTGATTATCTTTTTTTATACGCAAGTAGCAGGTTTGTCCCTGTGACTCCCACCCAATGCTAGGAGGATGTCTGCACAAATGTTCTCTGAGGAATGAGAAAATATTGTAACCTAAAGATTTGTCTCCTCTCTCATAAAAAAAATTGACCTTAGGAAATGACTTAAGATGACCCTTAGTATCTGTTTTTGTTTTGTTTTCAAACTAATACTCTACTTTTACTGTTTATTTTTATTTTTTAAATTAAATTAAATTAAAATTTATTTTTAATGACAAATGATAAATTTTTAATGATAAAAAATCTGCCTCTCATCTACACCCCTCCAAACTGAGAAAGAAAAACAAATCCCCAGTTATAAACATGAATAGTCAAACAAAACAATTCCTGTATTAGTCAAGTTAAAAAAAAATGTCTACACTCTGAGTTCATCATCTCTCTATCAGGACGTAGTTAATATTTCATTATGGATCCTCTGGAATCATGATTCTTTACTGCACTGATCAGAGTTCCTAAGTCTTTCAAAATTGTTTGTTTTTTTCAATAATGTTGATATTGTGTACAATATGCTCTTGGTTCTGCTCACCTCATTCTGCATTGGTTCACATAAACCTTCCTAGGTTTCTCTGAAACCATCCCCTTCAACATTTCTTATAGCACAAAAATATTCCATCATTACTATAAACCATAACATCCTCAGCCATTCCCAAATTGGTGGACACACCTTCAATTTCTGGTTCTTTACCACCACCTAAAGAGTCACTATAACTATTTTTTTTTTTACATCTTTAGAGTTTGTTTTGTTTTGCATTACTCCCTCCCTCAACTTACAGTCCCCCACCTATTCCCCTCCTAGTTGCCTCCCTTTTCCCTTCTGTTTCCCTGTTGAATGAAATATATTCCTATAAATAACTTCTCTCTGTGTGTGTGTGTGTTTTACTTCTTTTGATCTATTCATATGAGAACTAAGTTTAAGTATTAATCACTCTCCCCACCCCTTCCTCATTGCTTGTATGGACTTCTATTTCTGCATCTCGATTATTTAAGATAATTTCCCCCATTCTTCCTCCTGCCTGTATATTCCTCTTCATCTCATTTTCCATTCTCCTTTTAAGACTGCCAAAATGTAAGAGAACCATCCCCAGGTGCTCTGTCTAATTAGACTCCTTCTATAACCTTTTATGGGCAATTAGAGGGTGAAGTGGATAAAGCAGTGGGCCTCTAGTCAGGAAGACCTGAATTCAAATCTAGCCTCATATACTTACTAGCTACGTGACATTGGACAAGTCACTTAACCCTGTTTGCCTCAGTTCCTCATCTATAAAATGAGCTGGAGAAGGAAATTGCAAACTACTCCAATATTTTTTCCAAGAAAACTCCACAAGGGGTCACAAAGAGTCAGGACTTAAAACAACTGAACACCAACAACAAAATGACCTTTAGTGATAATAGCAGTCTTAGAGGACATGTGTATCATCTCTCTGTATTAAAATACAAACAGCTGATCCTTTTTTAGTCTCTTATTATTTCTCGCTCATGTTTACCTTTTTGTCTCTCTCTTGACTCCCTGTGTTTGTACTTCAAATTCTCTGTAGAGCTCTAGTCTTTTCATCAGTAATGCCTGCAAGTTCTTTATTTCATTAAAATTCCATTTTTTTCTCCTGTAGAATTATTCTCAGGTTTGCTGGATAGGTTATTCTTGATTGTAAGGCTATATTCTTTGTCTTATCTAATATTGTATTCTAAGCTCTCTGTTCCTTTATAGTGGTAACTGCTAAAATGTGTGTGATTTCAGACTGTGGCTCCAAGGTATGTGAATTCTTTCTTTCTGGCTGCTTGACTATGATGTTTCTAGGAGTTTTCATTTTGTTTTTTTTTTTTCCCCCCAGAAAGTGACCTGTAGATTCTTTCTACTTTTACTTTGCCCTTTAGTTCCAAGACATCTAGGCAAGTTTTCTTTTATGATTGCTCAAAATATAATGTCCAGGCTACTTTTTTGTTCTTGGTTTTCAGGTAGTCCAATGATTCTTAAATGATCTCTCCTCAATCTGTTTTCCAGGTGAGTTGTTTTTGGTACGAGATACATAACTTACATTTTCTTCAATTTTCAGTCTTTTGACTGTTATAATATTTCTTATTCCTTCATGGATTCATGAACTTCTATTTGGTTCATTATAATTTTCAGAGAATTTGCTGCTTCAGCAAAGTTTTATATTTCTGCTGTCAAGTCATCAATTCCCTTTTCCATTCTTTCTTTCATAACTCTCATTTCTTTTCCAATTTTCCTCTACTGCTCTTATTTAATTTATAAAAAAAAATTTGAACTATTAAAAACCTCTTGCTTCATCTCTTACAGGAATTCTAATTGAATTTCTCCCATGCCAAATTTTTCTTTGAGGCTTTACTTGTAAATATTTTAGAGGCATTTTCTTCTTCTGTGTTTGTATATTGAACATCACTATCATTGTAATTAATAGACTTTTATGGTGGGATTTTCTTTTGTTTGCTCAAATTTTTCCATCCCATTTCCCGACTGTGGACTTTATGTTGTCAGGCTGTGTGTCCTTCCAGAGAGAATGTCTGGGCTGGTCTCGTTGCTGCTTTCTTGAGGTACTAAATTATTCTGAGGACAGCTCATGCTGGGGAACTACAAGCTTTCAGTGCTCCCAGAGTGGTCTGATTCAAGACAAAGTGGAACTTCTGCCCTTCTGGTCTCAGCTCTACAAGTCATGACTTGGGTTTTGGTCTGAGCAACGCAACTGTGGCTTTACTCCAGCTGGAGTTCTAGTAGACTGCTATCAGATTCTGCCACTATCAACCAGTTGAAAACTCTGCTGGTTCACAGTGAAAGAAGTGAATGCTTTTCTTTGATCTTGAATTCTTGCCCTGGTTATTCAATTGCAAGCTTAAGTCTAGGCCGGAATTTAGAACCGAGACTCTGTTCTCTTCTCTCCCTGGGGTCAAAACCACACAGCTGCAGCTTGCTTCTGAAATTTGTTCCTTGTTTGGTACATAACACATGTAACCTCTTCTTATCCAGGAATGCCATCCTTAAGGTATAGGTTTCTTTTGCAGTTAGTCCTAGATCTATGACCCAGGACTAGATAGTGAGCAATAAAGTTGTCAGTTATTATCTCTTCCTGTACCCTTCACAAGAATGGACCTTTCTTTGCTGTATTTGGAACTTTCTATTGCCCTGAGGCATAGCTTCTCTGTGCTGGAATTATCTGTGTGGCCATTCCTGGCTAGAGAACGGCCAGACCCCCATCACTAGTGTCTGCAGACCTCTTTGTCTATCTCTCTATGTTGACTTTGGCTGGAAAAAAGGACTCACTATCATTTTTCTTGGATTTTCCAATCAGAACTCAGTCTGGTGCATTTCCTAGATCTGTTTGGAGATGTTGTGTGAGTTTGGGGTTGGGAGGAGCTCAGCTATATTGCTTCCTGATATTTCACCTCCTCCAGAATCTGCTTTCAATAAAGTTTCAACTCTTGTACCCTCTTAATACCATGGCAGTTAAAAAAAAAAGTTTAGTTGTAAAAATGAGGTTTTTACTTACCAAAAACAAATAATTCCTATATTGCATAGTTTATTCATAAATATAAAGAAGGTGGCCTAATAATTTTTATGAGGCAAATATAGTGTTAATTTTAAAACCAGGTAAAGATAACACTAAAAAAGAAAATAAAGATCAATTTCTCTAATAAATATACAAAATACTCAATAAAATATTAGTATAATACAGCAACATATTAAGAAAATTATTTATCATGATCAAGTAGGTTTTATACCAGGTAAATAATCTAATCTCTCTGCACTTCAGTTAGATGATAACAACACTCCTTACACTTTAGAGGATTTTTGTGAGCAAAGCACTTTATAAACCTTGAAGCACAACATAAAGGTGAATCTTTCTTATACTATACTGAACAAAATTTAATTTTGATTAATTAATAAAGCTTATAAACTAATAATAGAAACAAAATGGACATGAATTTTACCTAAAAAGGTTAATGAAATATATAGGTTACTCAATATACTGCTGTTCAACCAAGTGTTTATGGGTGTAGAAAAGTGAGCTCATATGTCCAGACAATTATTTCCCTGAGTGAGCTACTTAGATTTTTAATATGAAACTGAGATAAAAATATTAAATACATACTATATACAAAATGACTAAGCATATGTTCATTAAAATATAAAATTATGAAAATTGATTACTATCACAGGCATATATATATATATGCAATCTTGAATCTTACAGTTCCAGTTGTTTTCTGTAGTTCAGTAGTTGATACCATTGTGTGAAATTCTCTCTCTTCAATTAAAGCATTTAGGATGGCCTGAAGGACATTAAAAAAGAGGTATCACATTCCCAACCTCTCAGCCCCTGATACCTTTAGCAGTGATTATCCCAATGATTAACAATTAACAATTCCTTAAGTGAAGGCAGAAGCAAAAAGCACTCTCCCTTAGTTGGAAAATGTATCCATCAAAAAGGCGAGTTTTAAAACAAGCCATGGATTAGTTGGCTAAATATTCAAACCCACAACCTGTGCTTCTTTGGACCACTCCTTACTTGTGTACAATGAGGAACAAATCCATACACAAGCAATCTATCATTGCTGAACAAGGCCTGGATTTGTGTGGGAGCCTGCATGGGCGCTGGTGAATTTAGATTCAGCTGTTGCCATTTAACAGACACGGAGCTGCATCCTAGAGAAAATATTCTTGTCATCTGGTCTTCAATCTATTTACAAAGAAAAAAAAGGTGGATTAGGTATCAATTTTACTCCATAAAAAGAACTTTCATGCTAATTTAACATATTTATATTTTCATGATTTTACAGTTTTTCCTTCTTGTTCTACACAGAAGGAAAACATTGGGATAAATTTGACACATGCCTCTTTAAATTATTACAGTATCACTGTTACTTTACATATGCAAAGTCACTGCAATGCTTTCATTAATTTCTCTAGTGTGCAATCTTCACAGTAGCTTTCAGATACAATATTCATTCTAATAATACAGGTATTATGTAACACTTAGCTTGGTGATTGTTACAAGACACTTTATTATAAAGCACAGGTAATCAAATGACCTGTGAGAGAACCACTCAACAAATACTTTTTATCTACTATATGCAGGGTAAATGACAAAGACCAATACTGGGGAAAGAGGCCTGGACTGGTAGTTTGGAAATAGGGGTTCTAATTTTGGCTCTATGTTCCTGTAGGTCACTTAATATTTCTGGGCACATCTAAGATTTAGGGGTGGAAAGGATGTGAGAAGTCATCTCTAGTTCAACTCTTCATTCTATTAGCTGGGAATTTGAGGTTCAAAAAAGATAAGTGACATGCCCAAGGTCACATAAGTAACAGAAGCAGGATTTGAACCGAGGTCCTGTGACACCCAAACTAGTGATCTTTCTACTGTATCACTAGTTGGACCAAATGATTACTAAGGTTCTTTCTGGACCTAAACGTTTGTGATTCTATGGCAGGTGATTTAGAGAATTCACCTAGGGACTATTCCGCCCACTTTCAGATTTCCATTTCATCCCTTCTTCTACAGTAAAGAAAGAGAATTTGGTTAACCTTCATTTTTCTGGACAGTAATCCTGTCTAGTCTTTATTTTATGTAATACTTCTCTTAGGCCTATCCTGTTCTAAACATGAAAAAGAATATCTTGATTTTCAAAACATAAAAATGAATTTTAAATTGCAATTTATTTTTATACTTGACATGACTAAAAGGGCCCAAAATTAGAAAAGTAATCCTAGTAATAGTTATGTTATATTTACATAGTACTTTGAGGCTGATAAAGTGCTTATCTCATAAGGCCTTTAAGTACTATGATCCCCATTTTACAGATGAGGAAACTGCAGTTCCATGAGTTTAGAGCATCAGGCCTGGAACTCAGTCCCAGGACTTCTGATCTCAGGACCATAGATCTCAGTAAGAAGGGCTGTCAGAGGCCATCTAATCCTTTTTCCTCCATGTGGAAATTAAGAATGGTAGATGTAAAACTGAAAGGGACCTTAGATGCCTTCTAGTCTAGCCCCTTCAAATTTTAGCTGAGGAAACTGAGGTCCAGGGAAGTTTAAATGACTTGTCTAAGGTCATTCTGGCAGTATCAGAAGCAGAATTTGAACCCAGAGCCCTAAGCCAGGGTTTTCTCCATCATACCACAATGCTTCCTTCCTTATTTCCAGTCAAAGCCTCTTTTCGTTACATCAGTCATGATGGACTCCAGAGTCCTTTCTTGTGGTTTATATAGGATATAGTTACTGAGTAATGAAACTAGTTTTTAGCAAACAGAGACCAATGATTATAATAATAACAAATTACATGGATATATTGCTTTAAGTTTTGCCAAGAGTTTTACATGCAACATCATATGTGGCTGTCACAACACCATCAGGTCAATTATTATTCCCTTTGTACACATGAGAAAACTGGGGCTCAGAGGTTAAATGACTTGTCCAAGGTCACACAGCTAGTGAGTGTCTCAGGTGGGATTCAAGTTGAGGTTTTCCTAACTCTACACACAGTATTCTTGGTTGTCATCCTCTGTTCTTGAAGAGGACCAAAATAACATCACTATGCTAGAGTCAAGTTACAATGTGTCCAACTGTGGCTGATCAGACCAATATAAGCTTGGAATGTTCTAACACAGGTCGGGCATAAATAGTCCATGTGAATATTTGGGGTGGATTCTCTAAATTTGCACATCTTGTGTTTCTTTTGAGCTGCTTCAATTCTGCTTTGCTCCTAGCGCATAGCACCTTCTCTGATGTGAGCATGCCATGCTGAGTGGTCCTGTGCCAGTATCTCCCATGTAAATAATCAATTCCAAAGTTCTTAGAAGAGACCTTGAAAATGTCCTTGTATCACTTTTTATGACCACCATGTGAATGTTTGCTATGTGTGAGTTCTCCATAAAATAGTCTTTTTGGCAAGTGTACATTTGGCATTTGAACAACATGGCCAGCCCATTGGAGCTGCATTCTCTGAAGAAGAGTTTGAAATGCTTGGCAGTTTAGTTTGAGAAAGGACCTCAGTGTCTGGTATATTATCCTGCCAGGTGATCTTCAGAATCTTCCCAAGACAATTCAAATGGAAGCGATTCAGTTTCCTGGCATGGCACTGGTATACTGTCCAGGTTTCACAAGCATACAACAATGAGGTCAGTACAACAGCTCTGTAGACTTTCAGTTTGGTAGTCAGCCCAATAACTCTTCTCTCCTGCACTTTCCTTCAGAGCCTCCCAAACACTGAGCTGGCTCTGGCAATGTGTGTGTCAACCTCATTATCAATGTGTAATCCCTGGAAAGTACACTACCAAGCTAAGTAAACTTACCCACAGCATTCAAAATTTCTCCATTTTCTGTAACAACAGTATTCTATTCGCTACATTAAGATGGCTCTGAATTGTGTTAGAATCCATACATTGAAATGAATGCTGTCTTGCAAAGCCTCTTCTTAGGAAACTGCATTTATTCAAGTTCATAACTCGAACTCATTGGAGGTCACTCTTTGAGCAGCCTCAGAACCAGTTTATAAGCCATGAAAAAGTCACTCTAATTGCTTTAGAGTCACATTTCATTTGTTACCCCAAAGAGAAGCAGCACCTTCTTTCTAGAAGTGGCTTTGGATAAAAATTACCAGTCTCTATCATGTTAGAAACCTTAATGTTATTCTTCTATTCCCATTCCCTCAACTCTCATAAGCCAATCATTTACCAATTCTTATTGATTCCATCTCTGAAAGATATCTCAAATCCATTCCTTTTTTCTCTATTTCCACAGCCATCATCCTAGTACAGGTTCCCATTACGAGCCCCTTAGATATTACAAGAGCTTCCTAACAAGACTTCCCATCTCCACTTTCCGTCTCTGATAATCTGTCACACTGCTGCCAGAGTTATCTTCCTTGTACATAGATCTAATCATGTTACACATCTGTGCAAGAATTAGATTGGTTTCCTCTTGCCTACTAAGTAGTTAAACTCCTCTGCTTGTCATTCAGAGTCTCTACACGTGGCCCTATCTTACCCTTTCGGCCTTATCTAATACAGCTCTCTCTCCAGTACTCTATGTCCCAGCCACACTAGACCACTTGCTGACCTCCATACATGCCCCATACTTGCCCATTTCTCTACTCTGTGCCATGGTTTACACTGTTCCCAATGCCTAGGCTACCCTACCACCAACAAGACTGGGAATTTCTACCTAATCTTTCTAGCCCAATTCAAAAGCTGCTTTCTCCAGGAAGCCTTCCCTGATTTCCTAAGTTAGTAACTAGTTATTCGGCCCTACCTTCAGACCTGCATAGCACTTTGTACCTCTCACTGATTTAGAGATTGTTTTGTCTTACAGTTACTTTTTTATGTGTCATAGTCTCTGTTCCCTTCTCTCTATTCATTTCATATTTTATTCTATTCATTTTTGTGTCATAGTCTCTGTTCCCTTCTCTCTATTCATTTCATAGCTACTCTCGTTCAAGCCCTGAATGAGAGTAGCTATGAAATGAATAGAGAAAAGGGAACAGATGTGAGAAATATTGAGGAGGTGGGATTGTATATGGAAAGCAAGTAAGAGGGAGGAGTAAGGGGTGACTCAGGTTGTAAACCTGGATAACTAGAAGAATCCTGATGTCTTTGACAGAGACAGGGAAATTAGGAGGAGGGGTGGGTACGAATGAAGGGAATGAATGAAGTTTGAGAAGTCCAGCTGTCATTGGATGTTTGTTGAATAAGGACCAACATAGTTAAGTGCAGAGAGGCTCATCAATAGGTTAGTTAACAACTGATGATTTTTTTGGTTATTTTTTTGGGGGGTAACTCAGGATGACTATCTACCAAAGAGGTGAGGGATTGTAATCTGTGTCAATGGAGAGAATTCTTATACCAAAGAAATCAGGGATCTATAAAGGACTGAAGTTATAACTCCTTTCTTCCCACTAGACTATGGGAGCCATGAGGCCAAGGACCACGGTTTATCTAAACTTTCTATCTCCTCCAGGTCTTAGCACAGTATAGATAATAAATAAACCTATACACAATAGTTAGTTAATATATGTTTATGGAATTGAATAGAACCTTTAGAATAATATCAGAAAACAAAGTTAAGAGTGACAGACTTTACATGAATGACATTTGTGGGCATTTTATATTTATTAAGGACTAAAATGAAGTGATTTATTATGATTGTATAGATATTAGAACCCAGAGGTCCATTTCACTGACTATTGCATAAGATTTAAAAACACACGTAATTAATGTTTATGATATTTCACATTCCCATAGGCATACCTGAAAAAAGAATGAAAAGGTGAAGAAACTTACCTGTTTTTTCCAATTATATTTAGATTTTGTATTAAAGTATTCAAATGCTCCAGCACCATACTGGGACAAAGCCCTCAGGATATGACGATTTGCCGTGGACCTGGTCAAATTTTAAAGGCTTAGTTTCAAAGATTTATGAAAATAATTGTAAAGATCTTTACAACGAAATGTGTCAAAGCTCAAAATGTCAACAAAAGAAAGCACATGGCATCAACAGATGGTGCCATGCCCCACGGTGGTTTTGGGATTTGTAATTCAAAGGAAATAAAACAAACCATATTAGGGAGAACACACGTAAATTTCTTAGACTAATGGATTTGTGCTGATCTTTCTCAACAAAGCAATGGGAATGTGGTGATAACAGATGGTCTTTCAGATCATACTTCTTTCTAATAGGGACCAATCTCTTTTCAACCAGAAGTAGGGGTGGGGAATGAAATGATAGTTACCACTTACACCTACTCCCAAACAATGCCTGTGCCTAACCCAAATACCAAGGGAAAACAAACACCTTCTCCTTCCCTCAGCTTCTGTAACCCTGCTCTCTCCTAATTCTTCTCCAGCCTATCTGACTCCTTCTTAGTCTTTTTGGCTGATTTGTCATCCATTCTATACCTCCTAATCAAAGAACTGTCGTTGGTCCTCTTCTTTCTATAGTCTTTCCTTTGGATATCTCCTCAGCTCTCACTGGTTCCTTCACCTTTTGGAAGTCATCTTTGTAACCCATCTATTCTGTCTTAATTCCCTAAATTTCAGTCCTGTGTGACCAAATGCCTGTTGGCCACCCACCCCTGGATTTTCCATTTACATAATGATTTTTCTTGCACTTACCCAATGCCACACGTAAATAAGCGGGTGTGTCTAACATTTCTTTTTACAATCTGCAACGTCAGGCTCTCATTCTGAATATGCCCATCAGATAGAAGAAGTATGTTTCGCATCCCTTGAGAAGGGTAAAGTAAATTTAAAAAGCGCAGCGTTTTCCAGAAGTCAGTATTTCCCATGGTAGGTGTAGCAGACTGGAAAAAAAATTAAAAGAAAGTGGGTTTTATTCACACTTTGTAAACTTGCTATTAAATATTTCTTCTTTTGAGGATACTTGCTTCTCTAGAGAGGGGCCCCCTTATTTTTTCAATACAAACTTTTTAAAAAATGACATATTTGCTACTGTACTTGGGAAGAACAGCTAAACTAATATCATTCCACTTCTGCACTATGAACTTATAAAAAGAGAATTCTCATATTTCCTTTTAGGTAACTAGAAAATACAAGTATTCTCTTTAAGTGCCTAAATTAAGCGAGAATGTGTCCTGTTGCTGTTTGTTTTTAATAGGTCATTATACACTTAATTTTAAATGTCCACAAAGCCAATTAAACTTACATTTACCACTAATTAAACTTTTTAATAAAATATACCAATGTAAATTTACCTTTCCTCCCCAACTTATAAATTGTCCCTTTAACACCCTCTACAGATAGTACATTTTAAAGACAAAATGAAAGAGCTGCTATCAAATGCTATTTTTACTTGCACTGTGGTTGCTCTTAATTAGTGGCTGTAATCTTATTTTAGAGTGAGAAAACAGAAGAAAGCAATTTCCTCTGAATAAAAGTAACAAGAGTTCTTTGTGGCTGCTTGTCTTAAATTGCATATCATACATTAGACTCTTTACAGACCAATTGTTCAGGCCCCTTGTTTAACTGGTCTACCTCCCCATCTGTCATTGACTCTCTGTAAAAATTATCTCCTATCTTAAGTTACCTCTTTACCAAAGGTTACCAAAGTCAAACTTCCTGCTACACATCTGTGACTTTATCACCTTTTCCTCCTCCCTACCTCTTTATATAATGGTCACTGTCACATATTGGTTGCAATGCTTTTTCCAGATTGGAAAAATCGGCATCAAAAATACAAAAGCTACAATAAATAAATGGGATAGTAGCAGGCAATATAACAAAAACAGTGATGTATACGCAGGGCCTTAGAGGCAGAAAAGTGCTAAATCCTGGGAATGTCATTGAAATTTCATAGGCAAAGACTCAGGAGATTAAGAAAGAGTGTTTTACTCACCATAATGAACTCTGTCAGTTGAAGACTGCTTGTGGAGTACTTAGGATATGAAAATAATTCAGTATAACCTGTATAATGAAATTTGTAAACTCCTGTTAAATACTTATTCCAGTAACTTCTAACACAGTATCATTATATGGTTCTATTTCTGTCATTTAAAAATGCCTTACATATTTGTTTATATACATTTATTTGGTTGGGCCTCATTCTTAGGAAACTGTAATATATAAAAATCTTAATTTGTAATTGTGACAGGGGACTGACCAATCAGGGCCAATCCTAGGTGCATACACAGGGGACTTATGGATGTTTGGTGAACCTATCAAGTTCATGATGATGTGGGACAAAGGTATGTAGCTATTCACCAAGCATTGGCAAATGTTTATTCTGTGACTGTTTCCCGCCCACTTATTGCATAGTGAAGAATGACCTTTTGATTTGGGGCTGAGCAGGAACTGAGAGTTCATCCAAAAGGCCCTATCACAAAAAATAATTTTTCCTTCCCACTGGCCTTGAGACATAAGGAGGTCTCTGATGTCCGGACAGCCACTGGTCGGGGGCAGGGGGGTGTCCTTTTTCCCCCTCTCCTCTTACCAGGCTAGCTGGCGAGTGAATGGCCTCTAAAGTAAGTCTATATCAGGGAAGGGACTGCCTCCTGTTCATATTTTCTATCTGTTGGTATGGGACTTTTTGACACATCACCAGTACTGTGCCTGCCCCACCACAAACGCTGAGAGCACCCTTCAGAAAAAAAGAAAGGATCCTGAGGCTCTGTGGCTTCATTCTTGTGAGGTGCCCTGGTCACATATGTTCCCTACACATGTGCCTCATCGTGATTGTGTTTTAAATTCATGCCCACTCTTTTCCCCTTCTCCCCAGACTCTGGATATATTTGTGGGAGAATGTGCCCCTGGTGTTAGGGAAATGCTTTGTAATTATTGGCTTTGTTATGTCATTTGACTAAAGAACCGAGTTTGCTGACTGATCGTTAAGGGAGATCCCACCAGTGGAGGCAGCTGTGAGTCAGTGTGAGGAAGCTAACTGTCCACAGGGTTCCTTCAAAAACCCTAAAGTTCTAGCATCCTGTGAGAACTGTGGAGTTCCAACCTGCCAGCACCAGTGTGATTCAGGCAAGTGAGACTTGACAGGCATTAAAAAAAAAAAAAAAGGTAAATTATGGGGTGGCAAAAGGATTCACTCTGGGAGTCCTTTCAATAAACAATTTTGGCAACACATTTATACCAGAAAAATCACTAATTTAGAGCTCAATTATTATGTAAAGCAAGGTATGTCCGTATCTCAAATGACCCCTTATGTTTCTATAAAAGTAGTAGGATCCTGCTTCCCCCTGTGGTCCTCCCCAGCGTTTGTTCATATTACGTGGCCGACACTAGGGCAAAGGAGAAACTATAAGAACTCTGGCTTTTTCAGAATGGCATGGGCACATGGCTTGATGGAGCAACAGAGTTTCACTCTGGGCTGTTCCCATGTGTCTTCCTTCCTCATTAGAATCACTGCCTGATCCTCTTTCTCTTATGACTCTTTCACTGTCCCCACTTGATGAAGAAGATCTGATTATATATCTTTTAATAGCATATGTTCCTTAAATAGACTACAACCTCACAGCGTCCAGGAGTTCTTAACCTTTTTTATGTCATGCACCCTTCTGGCAGCCTGGAGAAATCTATGGAGCCCTTCTTTGAATAATGTTTTTAAATAATGGAAAGAAACACTAAATTTAAGTGAGAGGTTAGTGAAAGTAAAAAAAGTGATTTTTCTTTTTCCCATCTAAGTTCACAGACCCTCAAATCTATCCATGGACTCCAGGTTAAAAACTCCTGGGGCAGACTCAGAGAATGCCAGAGTTGGAAGAGATCACAGTGGTCATCTAGTTCAGCCTGCACCTGGACAGGAGTTTCCTCCACAACATCCTCCATACATGGTTATCCTGCTTCCAGATCTGGGACAACAAGGAGCCCACGGCCTCTTGAGGTAGCACACTACATTTTCTGACAAATCTAATACTTGGGCAATTTTCCCTTGTGAATTTTCTTGTCAAGGTACTTCATGTCCTTCCTTTTTATTCTTTTGCCTTTTCGGTTTAATTTTAAAAAGTCATACTGTCAGAACCTAAAATAACAGAAAACTTACTTGTGCCAAACTTGATAATGTTTACTTTTTGCCCCTCATGGACAAGAGACAGGACATGTAAGGCAATTTGCTTTGCTTGCAGTAATTCTGAGCCCTCCATAGAATTGGAGCAATCCAGACAAATAATAACTTCACTAGTATGGGCCTTTTCAGGTAGGACAGAACTGAAATCTGGATGGAACACAAGCATGCAGGCCTAGAAGAAAGATGGAGACAATGGCTGAAATGTAGCAAATGCATCTTATAACTTCAACTGGAAATGAAAAAGTCTTTATTATGAGAGAAATTATTTTGCTATTATACTAATAACCAATTATTAAATTGGTATCCAGGCTCTTCTCCTTTATTTTCTCATTTAAGGTCCAGCTCCTCTAAAGTCAGTCTCTGAAGGGCATGACTGATGGATGACATTGCCCTAGCGCTCAAGGAACATGCTCTTCAATCTTGGGCCGAGTTGGTCCCATCCAACTAGGAGACCTTACTTCTGTTTAGTGTGTAAACAGAATCCAGTCAGGAAAACTTCTTATCCTGGGGGGAAATGGGGGCTCTCTCCTTGTACCCCTCCATTAAAGTTTAGGGTGACCCAGCTCATGAAGGAGAAAACCAACTAGAGTGGTCTGGATGGAGATGGATTCCCCTGTCCAGATTGCTGGAGGCAGTGAGTTTCATGATCAACCCATGTTCTCAGCAAGAACAGCTGAAGACTCCTAGCTTATATCCTCATTAAATATTGACCAATAAGGGTTGATTTTCACTTGTCAGGAGCATTCTCTTTTACAAAGATATTTAAGGTATTCAATGTTTCCATGGGTTTGTTTTTGGTTACCTACACTGTCAATTTATTGATCGCCAGCTAGCCTAATTAATAAATTGATTATTAATTATCCAGAAATTCTGTCTCTTGGGTTTTCATTTGTTAAAACTATGACTTTCAGTTGATCTTTCATTTAAAAATGAAAATAATTTTTATTTTGTTACTTGAGGTATTGAGTCCATAAAATTTAATTTTAAAGGACTAACAGAATTCTAGTTTTAAGTTCCAAAGGAAGAAGGCAAAATTAAGCTGAGCAACATAAAAAGGAACAGAATTACACAATAAAAATAGCCGAGCAAAGTGACCAAAACCCGGAGAACAACTTATGCAATAACAATGTAGGAAATTCATTATTTCTCATACTTAATAACTAATTATTGAATCAGGACCAAGGTTTTCCCTCTTTTCTGCTTCCTTATCCAGAAACCAACCAGTTTGGGAAATCTTTCTTAAAGATTTACCCAGGCCAAGATCTGTAAAGACAGTAAAAGAAATTCTAAGTTTGGGCTAATGGGTGTACTCCTACTCATTCTGTTTGCTCAGACAGGTCTGGGAAAATGTGTATACTCTCTTTTGTCAGACAAGTGATAAGGAAATTGATAAGTCAAGATTTGGGTGACAGAGGTCACATGGCCCAAGACTCTAATTTTAATATAGCCCATCTCCCATTATAATATTAATTCTCTTGTTGGTCAATCAGAGTTGATTTCACCTTCAGGTACACTCCTTTTTCAAAAGATTTTATAAATATCAAAGGTTCAAGTTTCAGGGGACAATGAAAAAGTTTTTGTTAACTGCTTTCTAGACAGTCAATAAAACTGATTTTAATTTATCCAGAAACTTGGTCTCTCAGAACTTTTTAATGATCACAACAACATTGTACAGAAAAAGAACTTGAGAAAATTAAGAGTTCTAGGCAATGTAATGGCCAACCATGGTTCCAGGGGCCTGATGAAGCATGGCACCTTCCTTCCGAAATAGAGGCAATGAACTCAAGGTACAGAATAACACATACAATTTCTGGATATGGTCAATTTGGAAATTTGTTTTCCTTAACTATGCATATTTGGTGGGGTTTTCTCCCCAGTGGAGGACAGGTGAGAGGCAGAAAATAGATTTTTAAGCAAAAAAAAAATTAAAAACAAAAACGAATTAAAATAATTGACAGCATAGATAGATTGATGAATATAATGGAATATTACTGCACTGCAAGAAATGATGAAGAAGAATTCAGAGAAAAAATGGAAAGATTTGTATTTGATGGATCTATAATAGTCCAAGTGATGATAGATTCAAATGAAACTGGAATAAATTTGGTCATTTTTCTTCTGAAATGTTTTTTAAACAGTTGCAGTGGTTGATAACCAATTTTTTTTCCAAATAAAAAGGGATTTACCTCACTTTCCTTGTCTGGGTGCTTTTCAACCCACATTCTTGGGAGGTAAGCCTCTCCTATATGGATCTGGAGGGAGAAGCCTTTGCTGTCTAAGGAACTGTTATCCAAAGTGCTGATTACAGCCTTGCAGTCTGTTTTCTATACAACAAAAGAAAAAAATATTTGATTTAATTGAATATTGTCCATTTTTGCCAGTCATTTGCCAGCATAACATCATTTTCAAAGCAGAGTTTAAAGGAGAGATAAAAAATAAATTATAAAGTTATGGGTTTCTGATCACTTGAAAGATATGAATTCTTAGGGTAAAACATACCTTTACTTTGAGTTTATGTGTATCACTGGTAATTAACTCAATTATATGTGGCATCTCAATTGATATACTTAAAGAGAATCTATCAAATATGAAGAAAAAATGGTTGCAATTTAATATTTCAGAGAGACATTACTTTCCTTAACATATGCTATATTTCAAACAAAATAACCTACAAGAGGTTCTTCAGATTTTATATGCTAGCTACTAGTGCTCCTCAAATTACCTTGTATTTCTTTTGAATATACTTATATATGCAGTTGTCTCTTCTATTGAATGTAAGCTCCTTAAGGGAGGGACTATTTCATTTTTGTCTATGTATCACCTAAAGGCACAGTGTGAATTTGCATAGGCTATCTCCCAAACCCAGATTATACAGCATTTTCATTACTCCCTCAGAAGCTTTATCACCTAAATTGCCACCTCCTTTGCAGGATATTATCTGATTCCCTCCATCTGAAAGTATTCTCTCTCCCTTAAAATTTTGCTAGAACACTTTGGAGTTCTTCTTTGCTCCTATGACACTCTGCCCTGTATTGAATACTTAGGTGCATACACTGCAGTTCAAATGGAATTTTAAAATATGAAATTAATGTCCACTAAATTTAGCCACTGAAATACTAAGGCCTTATATTTTAGGTACTTACCGTTGCTGCATTCCTACTTCTTTAGTATAAATTTTCTTCACTGCATCCTGTCAAAAATAAGAATATCATCATGTATCCATGAAGTTTCAGAGTGGGTCTAATACAACAACTGAGATATAAGGAAAATGCTAGGACATTGAATATGTTCACATCAAGTAAACTGCTGGCAACATAAACAATGCTGCTAGTTTGCAACTTTGCACATCTGCAAACGTTTCCATGGTTTGCAAATGTCACGCATTTTCCCCTTGTGTAATAAGAGTCACTTTCAATTCAACTAATTATTGAGTAATATACTCAGAAAAGTTAATGAAATAACAACTAATAGCTAATATTTATGTAGTGCTTACTATGTGCTAAGCACTTTACAGTTACCTCATTTGATCCTCACACAACTCTGGAAGCTAGGTGCTATTATTATCCCCATTTTACAGATAAAGAAACTGAGGTAAACAGGTTAAGTGACTTGCCCAGGGTCACACAGCTACTAAGTATCCTAGTGGGGATTTGAAATCAGGCCTTTCTGACTCCAGGCTGATGCACCCTCTGCTGTGCTATTAGAGCTGCTGCTGATTGCTATGCTACTCAAAAGAGGGCAACTGAAAATAATGTTTTTCTCATTGACATGTATACTAAATTATGTTATCTTTTGGAAACATTACCTATTTATACCAATGGCATTAGATTCCTTTTGATAATTAATTTAAAAACTATAACTCCAAAGAAAATATCATTTAAAATGTAACGTTAAATACACAAACCTGCAAATTTTCATATAAAGCTTTATCCTGTTGCCACGGTGCTACAGTAGCAGGCATGAAGAAGTTAGCATATCCATGATGAAAACTGAGCTCAGTGATATAAGTAATTTTGATAAGAACTTTGGCCTGTGGTGGTAAGTTTCCAATGCTCACAGTAAAGACATCCTGAAATGGAAACATTATTTACTTTACAAATCTAAGACCTATCTAGTCCAAGTCACCATTTAATATTCCATATTAATAACCAATTCAAATAAAGACAATATACCTAGCTTCTGGAAAACTTTTCCTAGGAAAATGGAGATAGGGTTTAAGCTTATTTTGAAGATTCACAATTTTGCCAAGGTTGGCACTCCTTCCAACAATTCAGACTTTGATCCTTCTATACCTTAGCAGATGAATTATTGTAGCCAAAAAAATTAATCACCTGCCAATGTAGTATTAAGCCTTTGTGAATTTAGATAGGCTGGTTTTTAGATAACACACAGACTATCCATCCTTAGGCCCCTACAGAAAGTCTTTCCAGCTTGATAGGACCTGCCAAAATTTCTAGTCTACCAAATGTCTGTATTAATCATTATGGTTTTATAATCCAGATCAAGACCTTGCTCTGACTCTGGGTGAACCCACTTACTGTATCTTTTTTTTTAATGGAGAAAACAAAATATTAATTCAAACAGGATAGCTTGGTCAACATCTGAGAAATGTCTTTCTCCTTCCCCCATACCTGTTAATTTTTCAGAGGTCCTACACAAACTTCAAATAGATAATAGACCTATCACTACACCCTACTTCTTGAACTCAAAGGACTGACTGCCTTCTGAGAGAAATTGATAATCTCACATTTAAAAATATATTTCCTTGGAAAATCACAGGCTTTTCGGTTAAAATTTAATCCTGCAGAATAATAAGTCTAGTACCAAAGATAACTCAAGAAGGCTATTAAAATAGAGCTGCTTCCTCATATATAAAATTATTTTTCCTTATATTAAGGCATTTGAAAATTAAAGGTCTTTTGATATCACTAGTCTCTCCTCTAGTTAGCTCAATCCAAAGACTGCAAAAAATGATGGAGCTGGACAACACGATCTCAAAGCTTCCTTTGAACTTTACAATTCTATGATTCTAAAGAAGTGAGTAGAACATCTTGCTTAGAGAAAGCTTTGAAATATAATCCCTTCATGAATCTAATTTTATTTATTTATCTACTTATTTATTCATTTTTTAAAGGTCCTGAATCTCTGAAGCAAAGGCTAGTTGACTACTTATTGGGATCATGGTGAGGAAACTCCTGCTTGTTGTTTGAGTTGGACTAAATGGTATCAGAGATTCTAATTCTTGAGATTCTTTTATTCTCTTTAAGGCTATTCAGAACAAGGAACAGTGAAACACAATTAATTACTTGTTACTATAATCCATTTTATACTGCTAGTTCTGTGAACAGTTTGATTTATCTCTTATGAAGGAATTTATTTAAAATCATTCTCATATTCTTCAGTACTCCACAGTTCCCCTTTCTTATCAAGGAAGCAAAGAAGTCAGCTAGTATCAGGATCATTCTGAACAAGGTCTTCAGAATGGAAGCCACCACATCTCTGCTGAGTTAGCCCACTCTCTAATGGACAAAATTACAAATTTATAGTCATAATAAAGACTCATTATAATTCCAGTGGTCTTTGACAAGCCCAACATGAAGAGGAAAACTGTACTGCATTAGATCAATTCAAAGTATTCTGTTTTACTCTTATGAAGGAATTTTCTGAGACAGTTAAGAAGCATCCCCTGATCCACTTTGAACGTCTTTCTAAGGACAAACAAGAGGTTCTCTTGAGTAATCTTCAGATATATCAAAAAAAATTTCACCATCAGAGCCTAGATCATAATTAGGATTTTCTGCTACTGAGAATCTTGCTTAATATTCTTCATACCCAAAGTTTCCAATCAACCAATTGGACAATCTTGTTCTATCTCTGAAGCCTGATGTAAATATATTCTTGCTACCCAACAACACTAATCTTCCTGACTCTTTGGGTAAAATCTACCTCCCCCAAATTGTATTGTAGTTGAGGACTCAGCTCCTCACGCCAAAATTCATTAAATTTCATTCTTTGTAGCCATAGACTATAATTATTTTGTTTTTCTAGTTACCTTGTCTTCTGAGTCTTCCTCTTTAAAATGTATGGATCTTCCTGACTACAAGGCCAGCCGCCTTTCCACTATTCACCACCTTTCAGAAACTTGACTATTAGAAAATTACTTCCTCCATACCCAAATTTTCTGTTTGTCTTTCATCCATCCATCTTACCACAAAGTAACATCAGTAGACATAAGGGTAGAGTAGTAGTCATTCTGATTTCAATCAACATTAGAGCCTTAGTCATTAAGTTACATGGTCCATATAACAAAAACATATTTCTCTTATTTTTAGTTTAGCTTTTCAAGAACACCATTTTGATACCATCTTATAATTCCCATCACATCCTTTTGGAAGCTGATGGGGTTTAAATCCAAAATATCATTAAATCATGTAACACAAGAAGGAATTCACTGTTCTCGGAGACTATATTTTGTAACTAGCACAGAGCTGCAGATGACATGACAAAGGGCATGCTGAATTCTTAGGCAAGGTTTCTCTCTGACAATCGAAAATAGAGTTTTTTGTTCTAAATATTTTCAATTTTTACTTTATAGTAGGTATTATATGTTTTAAAGGATTTAAAACTTTTTTCCATTTCAGATGAACATGACAAACTAACAAATTAATAGCATGCCATACAGGACTGTCCTGATCCATCAAGTAAGCTCCGTGGCCTTCACTGATGGCCTTCCTGTACTCCTTATGAGCTTCTTCCTTCTCCTTGACCTGCAAAAGAGCATTTTAAAATGTCATGACATAGATGGTGACTTCATTATTTTGTACAGTAGAGCTAACTATTCAAACTCAAATCCTAGAAATGTTCATTTCAGAAATGAAAAAAGAGTCTGAAATGAATATAAACCTGAAAAGTAGCCAATGTGTCAAATCACCTCTCAGAAACCCATTCTACCAGATAAATAAAAAAGGGTGTGCCTGCAGAGAGAGCAGAACAAGTGAGTGTAATTCATTCATTCCTCTTTACCTCTCCTACTATATGCTTGCCATTGATGAAAGCTTCAAATCCACACACAGCTGCTTTGTCGTCCAAGGGAAAGACATACTTTGTTTCAATAGGCAGATGACTCTTATTGGTATATGCTTGGAAAACAATGATCTGGAAATAGAACAAGATCCACTTTGTTAATGAAATGCTTTCAAAAACTATTTTTGTGAAAAGTGGCCAACACAAGCTGCATATTTTGGGTTTAGACTACAGGTGTTAGTTCTGCTATGTGCCTTAGTTTTCTCACGGGCCCTACAGACTGAGGGTTGAGACATGTGTAATGCAGATCCTGAATCACACATAAACGTGCAGTCTGCTCTAACTATAAGCAGGTGGTGCTTACCTGACAGGGGCGTGTCTTATCCCCATAGAGCTAATACAATGATAATAACAATTTTGATAGAACTTTACAATTTATTTTTTAAGAAGCATGATAGTGGGGGAAAGTATTTTGTATAAATGAGAAGATCCTTAAAAATGAATTGAACTCAGAGTAAATGTAAAACCAACAAAGATCTAGAGAACAGATAATGAATCATACCTTCATGACAGAGAAGTGGTAGACTACTAGGTCAGAATATTGTATACATTGTCAAATATAGTTACTGAATCAAATGTGTCTGCTTAATGTTTTGTTTCATTTTTGAGTCTGGGTCTATCTTGCCCAGGCTGCAAGTGCAGTGGCCTCTGATCGTCCTGACCCAACTGCTGGTCAACAGGGAAGCTTCACCTTGTTGTCTTGCTGACTTGAGTTAGTTCTATCCTCTTATGGCAGGTTGGTGCTCTCCCTATCACCACCACATTGGTGATGGACTTAGTACAGACACATGATTGACTTTAACTCTATTGCAGCTAAGAACTCCTGAACTCAAGTGATTCACTGGCCTCAGGATCCTCAGTAGCAGGGATTATAGGTGTACACCAACCATGCTTAGTTTAATTGATTTTCTTTGTCACAAGGCAGGGTTAAATATAGAGGGGGTTGGGGGGTTAGAAATGACAGTGAAGACTAAAGATGTTAACAAAACTTTTTTCTTCTTTCTTTTCTTTTCTTTTTTTTTTAAGAAAAAGTATTGTGGGGGCAGCTAGGTGGCACAGTGGATAGAGCACTGGCCCTGGAGTTAGAAAGACCTGAGTTCATATCTGACCTCAGACAGTTGACACTTACTAGCTGTGTGACCTTAGGCAAGTCACTTAACCCCAAATGCCTCACAAAAAAAAAGTATTGTAAAGGAAAGCCAGAACTCTAGACCTAGCCCTGCCACTTGCTAGAATTGGTGTGAACCGGTCAAGTCAATTCACATATCTGAGGATCAGATTCCTCATACATGAAATAATAGGGTTAGACTAGATGAGCTTTAAGGATCCATCTAACTTGAAATCCTATCATCCTATATATACTTTATATACATTTTATACTTTATATGGCATATATACATCCTAAATCCTATATATACTTTCATCATAATTTGAAGGGTCTACTTACTACTAATGATGAACCTATAATTGCTACCTATTTCTCAAGGCAGTTTTTAAGCTTTAACCACAGTCATAGAAATATATATATATATATATATATATATATGTGTGTGTGTGTGTGTGTATATGTATATATATATATGTATTTAAAACAGGGAAATTCCAAGCATTAAAATTGGAATTATCTAAGTGTACATATATGTGTGTACATGCATTGAATATATGACAAATGATAAAGAGGAAAATTTTATATTGTTTTACAGTTAAAATATCTCCATTAAGGGGAAATAAAGCATTAAAATATAATTATTAGCCATAACAAAAAAGGATAACACAAGTGAGCTTTAAAATAAACAAGGGAGAAATTACAATAAAATTTGTATTTCTTATCCATATTGCTCATAATCTAGTTACTGTAGAAACAAACAATAATTTTTTTTTACTGGATCTGTGATTTCACTGGGGGGACTCCAAGGGAAGAAACTCCCTCTACTGAAAACAAATAATACTAACTTGAAATTTTTTAAAATCAGCAATTTCATAAAAATACCTGAAGCCCAATTGAATTACGTAGTACAGTTAAATACCCTCCATGGAACTCTAGAAGGTAGAATTATAGGGTTCCTCAGAATACAGTTTGAAAAACCCTGGCCTAAAGCATCAAGTACCAAGATATGTGAGGAGATGATAAGAGCACATCTAGCTATCATTAAGGGGTTCAAGTCACCAGGTCTGTACAAACTACATTAAGAGTACTAAAAGAACAGGGGGATGTCATAGCTGAACTCTTCATCCTTGATCCTTGAAAACTTATGAGGGTCAAGGAATATAAAAAGGAAATTTCCCCTATCCTTTTGTCTTTTTTAATAGCATTTATTTTTTCTAAATACATGTAAAGACAATTTTAACATTCATTTAAAAATTTTGAGTTCTAGATTTTCTCCTTTCCTCTCTCATTTTCCCCCTCCCTAAGATGGTAAGCAATTTGATATAGGTCATATATGTGCAATCACGTAAAACGTATTTCCTTATTAGTCATGTTGTGAAAGAAAAAACAAACCAAAATGAAAAAACTCACCAAAAAAGTGAAAATAGTATGTTTGTTCTGCATTCAAACTCTATCAGTTCTTTCTCTGGATGTAAATAGCAATTTTTCTCATGAGACTTCTGGAATTATTTTAGATCATTGTATTGCTGGGAATAGCTAAGTCATTCGTAGATGGTCATTGTATAATGTTGCTGTTACTGTGTACAATGCTCTCCTGGTTCTGTTCACTTCACTTTGCATCAGTTCATGTAAGTCTTTCCAGGTTTTTCTGAAAGCATCCTGCAAGTCATTTTTTATCACAACAGTATTCCATTACATTCATATGCCACAACTTGTTCAGCCATTCCCCAATTGATGGCATCTCCTCAATTTCCAATTCTTTGCCACCACACAAAGAGCTGCTATACATGTTTTTGTTAAAACAGGTCTATTTATCTTTTTAAAAAATCTCTTTGGGACATATATCTAGTAGTGGTATTACTGCATCAAAGGGTACACACAGTTTTGGTTGCCCCATGGGCACAGTTCCAAATTGCTCTCCAAAATAGTTGGATCACTTCACAACTCTACCAACAGTGCATTAGTGTCCCAATTTTCCCCTCCAATGTTTACATTTTCCTTTTCTGTCATGTGGGCCAATCTGATAGGTGAGTTGCTACCTCAGAGTTGTTTTAATTTACATTTCTCTAATTAATAGTGATTTGGAGCATTTTTTCATATGACTATAGATAGCTTTGTTTTCTTCATCTGAAAACTGCCTGTTCATATTCTTTGAGAAAAGGAAGTTTTAAAAAGAAGAAATATAAACCATCAACAACCATATTAAAGAGTGCTCTAAATCTCTAACAATAAGAGAACTGCACATTAAAACAACTCTGAAGTTCTCTATTTCATATACATCTGATGGGGAAAGATGACAAGAGACAAGAGTGGCAAATACTGGAGAAGCTGTGGGAAGACAGCCACACTAATGCACTGTGGGAGGAAATTTATCCAACCATTCTGGAAAAGCACTTGGAATTTTATAAAAAAAAAAGTCATTAAATGTGTCCTCTAACTCAATGATACCACTAAGTGTTGTTATGTAGTTGTTTTCAGTCACGCCTCACTCTTTATGGCGCCTTTTGGATTTTTCTTGGCAAAGATACTGAGGTGTTTTGCCCTTTCCTTCTCCAGCTCATTTTACAGATGAAGAAACTGAGGCAAACAGTGCTAAATGACTTGCCCAGGGTGACACAGCTAGAAAGGTCTGAGGGCGGATTTGAACTCAGGTCTTCCAGATTCCTGGCCCAGCATTCTATCTGTTATGCCACCTAGCTGCCCTGATACCACTAATATGCATATATAAAACAAAGAAATTAAATATGGGGCGAAAGAACCACACACATAAAAATATTTATAGAAGAATTTTCTGTAGTAGCAAAGAAGTGAAAGGAAAGCAGGGACTGTCTTTTCCCTTTCTCTGTATCTCTAGCACTTAGCATAGTGCCTGGCACATAGTAGGTGCTTAATAAATATTTATTGACTGACTTACTGAAAGTATATGCCCATTGATTTGATCCATGAAATGGATGAACAAATTGTGGCATATGAATGTAATAGAATATAACTGTGCTGTATGCTATGATGAGTATTAAGAATTTAGAGAAACTTGGGAATACTTGTGTGAATTGATACAAAGTGAAGTAAAATCAGAGCTAGAACAATTTACCCAATGACCACAATAAGGTCAAGTAAAATCATATTGAAGACTTCAGAACTCTGATCATTGCAGTGACTTTTCAGTACTCCAGAGGACTGATGGTAAAATACATCTCCTGCCTTTTGGCAGAGAAGTGATGAACTATAGGTCTGGAAAGGGGATACATTTCAAGACTTGGCCAACATGTTGATTTGTTTTGCTTGACCATACTTATCTATTACAAGGAAGGGTTCATTTAGCAAATGAGGGAGTCATTGAGGCATGACAGGGATGGCTGAAAAAAAAAGAAAGGGACATTAGTAAAAGCTTTTTTTTTGAGGCAATCAGGGTAAAAAACTTTTTTTAAGAAAAGAAAGACTCATGGGGAAATGAGAAAAAAAACCATTCTAGCTATAATTTATGATGAAAGGCATCACAGGACTCACTTGAGATAAGAAAACATGACCCTGATTTTCCAAAAGAGAAAAAATCTGGAGGGCTCCAAACAAAGACAACCTGTTTCACTATCTAGTCCACAGTTAGCCCTACTAAGAATAGCCACAGTTAGCCCTACTTTCAGTAAATCTACATTCGGAGCACTCATGGTTGCTTTTCTTGATATTTACCTTCATACTGCACTCACACAAAAAAGGACTTACCCTTGACCTATATTTTATGGATCTGCTTTGCCAACCAACCACTCACAACTGGGTTTAATGTAATTGTCCTGCTTTGTGTACTTCTTATGCATGTGTCTTCATGCTACTGTGTCCTTGATTGAAAGGTCAAAAGGTCAGGAACTACAGCCGTGTGGTCCTCTTAACTTGTCACTTGATGTTTTTTTTTTATAATGGTAGAAAAAGGTACTTTTACTAGGACAGAAACTATCAATCCGATGATATA